CGGCGGATGCGGAGGCTCCGGCGTGCCGGGGCCGCGGCCAGGCGGTGCGGCCGCTGCCTGTGTCGGGATGCCATCTAGTGTCCCTTGCCAGAAGGGCCGTCAGGCGGGGACACCGCGCCCCGGCATCGCCGGGATCCCAGAACAGCCTTGCTGCTGCGGCCCCCTACACCGGGATCGGCCTGGGTGCCGGGACCCCCATCGCAGGGGCAGCGCACCCTGCGGCCAGCGCGGCTGCAAACCCCCAAGGAGGACAGCTGGCACGACCCGGGCATGCAGGGGCAGCAAAGCTCAAGGTGGTGCCGGGGCTGGCTCGGGGGTCCCCGGAACAGCCAGAGCCTGAAGGCTCAGCAGCCTCACAGGTGGGTCGGGGTGGTGGCGGGTGTCCTGGTGAAGAAGGAAGGCGACCACCCCCCCCAGCAGTGTGCAGGCTGCCTGCAGTGCCAGCACAGCCAGCCCCAAGGCCAGGGACACCTGGCACTGCCATGGGCTGGTCCACAGGGACAAGCCCCAGGCACGATGACTGCTGGGGGTCAGGGGAGGGGAGGCTGGAGAGGGGCTCATGCTGTCTGGTAGCGTGGGGATGGGGGGTGCTGGGAGCAGGACAGTGCCTGCCGGGGCAGGAGTCTGCTGGGGAGCACTGGCGGTGGGCTGGGACAAGTCAAACGTGGTGGAATAGCCCCATTCCCTGCCTGGTGCAGGAGCATGGTGTGATGGTGAATGTGAGGCCAGTGGGACTGTGCCCAGAGCAGCAGTCCTGGGGAATGGCCAGAGGGCCATGGAGGAGGCTGAGACAAGGGGGGTTGTGGGTGCTCCCTGTGGGATGGTGGCTGGCCTCTCCCTGGGCACTGAGAGAGCAGGAGGCTCTTGTCTGGTGGTGGCTGCCAGTGAACTTGTTGGCACCCGTGTGGTGGCAGAAGCTGGAGTGCACGGCACAGGTTCTGGGTGGGTGGCCCCAGGAGACTGTAGCCTTACAATGGCTGAAGATGAAACAGCTGATGATGGGGTGGTGATGGAAGCCTTGGGCATCTCAGCTGATGATGATGGTGTGGCAGTGGAGGCCTTTGGCAGCATGGTTGGTGATGAGGTGGTAATGGAGGTGTCTGGCAGCACAGCTGATGATGAGGTGCTGATGAAGGCATTTGGTAGCACAGCTGGTGATGGTGTGGTGATGAAGGACTTCATCACACTGTTTGTTGATGGCGTGGTGGTGGAGGTCTTGGGCTTATTGGTTGTTGATGGGCTGGTGCTGAAGGCTTTCTGCAGCACAGCTGGTGGTGGGATGGTGACAGAGACCTCAGATGGCTTGGCTGGTGACAGAGTGGTGAAGGCAGCCTCCATTGGCACGGTTGGCATCACAGCAGAGGTGACCACAGGTGAAAGAGTGGTTGGCAGTGTCCTGATGGGAAAGGATGCCAGTGACAGCATGGCTGGTGCTGCTGTGGACATGGGTCCACGTGACAGAAATGTTGACGTCCTTTGTGAAGATGTGGAGTTAAACGGCAGAGTGCCTGGGCAAATCAGGTGTTCATCCCTCAGCAATGTTACTGCCTGCCCTGCCAGGTGGGGTGGGCTCTTGCAGGAGACTTGGGAGGATAATTTGACCTTCTCCTTGTTGCCCAGGATCCAGCGGTGCAGGTAGCAGAGGTTGCAGTCACATCTCCACGGGTTACCACTCAGATACACTGAGCTGAGCTTCTCCAGAGGGTCTAGGAGCCCTTGAGGAACACTCTCCAGCTGGTTCTTTCGAAGGTTGAGTGTTTTCAGATTTGGGAGAGAAGCAAAGACCTCTTCATCCAGAGCAAAGAGCTGATTGGTGTCCAGCTGGAGGTCCAAGAGCTTGCTGAGCCCAGTGAAAACCCCTCTTGGCAGGGCTGATAGCTGGTTGTGGGACAAGATGATTTTGCCAAGGGATGTGAGGTTGCCAAAAATGCCCTCTGGAAGTGTGGCCAAACTGTTCCTGCCCAGATCCAGCTCCCGCAAGTGTGGCATGGTGTCAAAAAGGCAGCAGGGGAGCTCCATAATATGGTTTGAGCCCAGAGTCAGCAACTTCAGCTTGTTTAAACCAAAAAAGCCCTGAGGTGGGAGAACCCTGATGAGGTTGTTGTCCAAGAGGAGTTTCTCCAGGTGAGGCAGGCTCCTCAGAAGCATGGGTAGCAGTGCCCTGAGCCTGTTCCTCTGGAGGTTGAGTTCCAGCAGCTCCACCTGACTGTCTAGCAGTCCCTCTGGGAGGTCCTGCAGCTCATTCTCATACAGACGGAGGACTTGCAGCTGGGTGAGTTTGCTAAAGGCATTCACAGGAAGAGTTGTGATCCTGTTCCTGGACAGGTCCAAAAAAGTTAGATTGACAAGAGAATCAAAAATGCCTTCTGGAAGAGAAGAGATTGCATTGATGTGCAGAGAGAGCTCTCCCAGACTTTCCAGCCCATCAAACAGGCCTTTGGGGATGGATCTGAGCTGGCTGTCTCTCAGCTCCAGCCTCTGTAAACTTCGGAGGTTTTGGAAAGTGCCCACAGATAGTTTTTCTAATGAGGCACCAGAGATGTCCAGGTCCCTCAACTTGTCCAAATTATCAAAGGCTCCAGGTTCAACAGTCTTGATCTTGTTGCCAATGAACAAAATCTTGATCAGGTTAGGCATGTACCTGAAGGCACCTTTACTTATAGAAGTGATGCTCGTTTGCACAAAGATCATCTCAGAAACAAAGGGCTTTGCAATCTTTGGGATCTCTTTGACATCATTTTTTGTCCCTCTGTAGACCTCCTGGTAGTCTTTGGGCTTTTCATATGGATCTTCACCCAGGATTTGACCTTGGCATTTATGGGGATTGAAGGAGAGGAGGAAAAGGAAAAGGAAATACTGGTACATTGTCCTGGAAAAAAAAAGTTTCAAAAATCAGTTATGAAGAACAAGAATCCCTGTCCACAGCTCATGAACTGTGGTGTCACACTGTTGTTGAGCTCTCAGGACTCTTCTATTCACATACCATGACTCATTTCATGAGAAAAAGAGATTGGACAAGCAAACATACACTGCATTTACACGAGTTCACTGCTGTTGGTACCAAGGGATGCAGAGGGAAAGCATGCCAGCAAGATGCTCCAGGAGGGACAAGGGCTGGACACTGTTCTCTGGCCCTTCTTCTCACATGTTTGAACTGTAGGCTCAGTCTGCCTGGGTGAAGAGGGCAAAGTGCTGCTGCCCATTAGTGCTGCCCCAGTGGGTCCAGTTATTCAGCAGGGCAACAGCCCATTCATGCAACAACAGAAGCAGTCAGTCCTGTCCTTGCTAATGAGGGATCAGCAAGGCTCCCAGGAGCCAGCCAAGACCAGAGGACCTTGTGTGCTTAGAATTTCCACACTGTGCTGGGTATACTTGCTATTTCATTGCTGCTTCTCTCAGTTGAGAGGGCTGATTTAAAACATGGCTTCTAAGCACCTCTTTTTCAGAATTCTTGCTAATTGTACTATATTTTTGTTTTGGTCATGCAGCTCTGACAGACAGAAATAGTTAACCTGGGAACAGCAACCAAGCTTTAAAGCAAGGCTCATTAAAACCTTGGAATGTCCACAGATGAACTATTTAACACCTAAGATCTGGGGCTCTGAGCTTGCTGGTAGGAAGTGAAATCACTGATGCACACTTACTAGTAGAGTCCACTTCTTCCATGGAAACATTTGGAAACACTCAGCTAACACATTAACTGGGGTTTAACTGCAATGAGCACCTCACTGGGACCATGTTTCCAACTTTTAATTCACAGCCCTGGGTGGGAGCAGGTAAAAGAGGTATGAGTTTCTTCTTGGGTGACCATCAAAGCTGCCCATGCAAAAAAACTTATTCTGGAAGGGTAAATCTGCCATAAGAAGTTATTTTTAAAATAATGTTGAGGCATCAGCAAATACTGGAGATGAAAGCCACTGGGTTTGAAGAGAAATGGATGGGAGGTGACATTGGTTGTGCAGCTGCCCCCCAGGGCTCCCAGGGCAGAAGCCACTGCTGATCCCTGCCCATCCTCTCCCCGGGTGGAAGAGCTGGGGCTGAGGCTGTAGAAGTGCCTGCTTCACTTCTGCTGCAGGGACAGTGCAATGTGTGAAATGTGGAAACATGAGTGTGTGGGGATGAAAACAGACAGTTCTGAAACCCCCAAAACCCTTTAAAAACCCTCACTGTGGTTCCGTGCTTGTCCTCTACTCCAGCCAGGCAGAGTCATGGAGACATGGTCCCAGCTCATGGCACTGAAGCCTTCCCTGCTCCTTCCTGCAGAGAAACAACCAGCAGCCCTCCCCACCGCCCCTCCCAGCACATTGTAAAGAGCAAAAAAGAAGCATTTTGCACCACTTACTTGGCTGAGCACTTGCAAACGAGTTCAGCCACCGGAGCCATGCCGTGCTAGGAGTGAGGACACCGGATGGGGGTCTCATCACCTGGCCAGCTCTTTATCCATGTCCCAGACACGGGCTCAGTTTCACGTGAGGTCAGGACACAAGTCTGTGAGGGGAGATAAGGGACGCCAGGGAGCCGGCAGAGGAGCTGTGCCCCCGGTGCAGGAGGCCACGGCAGAAACCCCTTGGAGGGGATGCAGTCACGTACTCCCCAGGCGTTATCTGCTGGCACCACTTGACTCGTCACATCCAGGGAAAGCTGAAGATCTCCAGGCCAGCCTGTTTGCAGGCAATAGTCTCTGTGATCCCGTATCTCCAGCAGGGTAGCTCACTAGTTTCACAAACACCACCCCCATCAACACAACAGACAGCTGTTTCATTCCTCGGGATTATGTAGCTAAAAATGCGGTTCTGAAGCCTTTCTTCATGCTTATAAACAATGAAACATTTGTGGCTCAACAGATACAACAACACCCGAGCCCTGTGCTCAGCCCCACAGCTCCACACCTTGCTGACCCTAGTGCTGTGTGCTGCACCCCAGTGCAAACCAAAACCCTGCCATGGTGAGACCAGAGCCCCTGGCTAGTGCAGGGCATCCCGTGGAATGCTCATTTTGAGGCAAAGACAAACTGACAGGATATGTGTTACTTCCCAGCAAGTAATTGCACTGATTGCATTTAAACTTCTATTGTTACCTGCTCCTTTAAAAGCTCAGCTTCTGCTTGCTGGGTTTCATTACACGTTTCTTGGCAAATTTAAAAACAAACTACTGCACATTTTCCACAGCCTTACCCCTTCCCGACGTCAGCATCCAATGCGTCCGTGTCCCACTGGCGCTCCCCTGGCTCTGCGGGTCCCGATGGCCACGAGATGGTGCCGCAGCACCGCCGTGCACGGACAGACAGACACGGGACACTCAGACACTCGGGGACACTCAGGGACACCCACAGACACTCGCGGGACAGACAGACACGCACGGACAGGCCCAGGCTGACACGCACAGGGATCTGACACGGGTCACAGACTCAGGGACACTCTGACACGGACACACACACAGACACCTGTGCACTTAGAGCCTCGTGTGTGAAGCCACACTCGCCCTCCCAGGGGAGCACACGCCTTACCTGTCACCCCCAGGTGGGCAGCACTGCTGGGACTTTGTGCCTCATCTCCACAGGTCACAGAATCAGAATCCCAGGATGGGAGAGGTTGGAAGGGACCAGTGGAAGTCACCCAGTCCAACCTCCCACTGAAGTAGGGTTCCCTGGGTATCCATGGCTCTGTTCAGATGGCTTTTGAGTATATTCAGAGAAGGAGACTCTACAACCTCGCTGGGCAGCCTGTTCCACTCACTCTCACAGCAAAGTTCTTCCTCTCATTTATGTGGAACTTGCCACTTTCCATTTGCAGGCTGCAGGGCTGCAGACCAAGCCCTGACAGGGTAGGGGTGGGACCCTCCTGTGCACACCTGTGCTGGAGCTCACCTGCAGCCAGGCAGCTCATGGCTCTTGCTGGGCAACCAGCAGCACTCACCCACACCTCCCTTGGACAACACAAATCCCTGTCCTCAGGCTTTGCCAGGCTGTAGCTGGGCCTCTCCTGTCTCTGCAGTGCCAAGGGAAGGTGGCTGCAGTGGGCAGACACGAGCACACCATGAGAATGCCAAAGTGGCACCGGGCACCTGCACTATGTCACACCATGCACAGTTCCTGACAAGATCCCAAAGTACCACATCGACCTTCACTGCCTCTCCCAGACACACAGACAGTGGCAGGGAGAACAGAATGATTCTCTGCCATGGGAACTAGTAGCACAGAAATAATAGATACATTTTAATTATATTTGAAATACACAGGAAACACATAGCTGAGAGGATAAATACCACCAGGCCAGCTGTTGCCGAGAGCTCGGCGACAGCTGGGGACCATAGCAGCGGTAGCAGAGCGAGACGGAGAGCTGTTTGTTTCCCAGGCTGGTTCAGAGGTTGCCAGAGCAGAAGCAGACGCCTGCCCAAGCCTTAGGGCCCCGCGGGCAGAGCCGGGGAGGTGGCGTCGCTGCCGCCCTGTGCTGTGACGAGGACACTGACCTGCAGCGTGCCGCAGCGGGAGCGCAGCACCCAGGCACGCCGGTACGCTGCCCCCGGGCCCTGCCCCTGCCCGGGAGGCGGGAGGCGAAGGCTGAGCTGCTGGCAGGCTGTGGCATTGCAGGCCACGCTCACGGTGCCCTCGGGGTCGGTGTAGGTGCACTGCCCCGGAGCATCAGTGTCCCAGCCTTCCTCTGGGGGGACACGGTGCGCTCCTGGGCACTCCAGCTGCCCGCGGGACACCTCCAGCAGGGACTGGCCCTGGAGAGCAGCTGGATTGGCACAGAAGGCTTGGTGGTGGATGAGAGGCTCAGCAAAGCTCTGGAGCCAGCGCAGGAGGTAGGAGAGGTGGCAGTCACAGAGCCAGGGGTTGTCAGCCAGCCCCACGCGCACCAGTTCGTCGTTGGCATCGAAGAGCCCCGGGGGCAGGCGGGCCAGGCGGTTGTGGTCCAGCAGCAGGGCGGTGAGGAGGGGCAGCCCAGCCAGCAGCCCCGCCGGCAGTCTAGAGAGGTTGTTGTGGCTCAGCTGCAGCTCTGTCAGCCCTGCCAGCCCCTGGAAAACCCCGGTGGGCAGGTGATCTATGGCATTGTGTGAGAGCTCCAGGGTTTCCAGCACTGACAGGTTAGCAAAGAGCTCCTGGGGCAGTGTCTCCAGCTGGTTGCGAGCCAGCGAGAGGTGCAGGAGGCCAGGGGTGCCAGTGAACAGGATGGCAGGCACAGTGGCCAGGTTGTTGCCCTCCAGGCTGAGGACAGTGAGGTTGAGGAGACCTGTGAAGATGTCGGGGGCCAGGCTGCCCAGGGCGTTGTGCTGCAGCTGCAGCCGCCGCAGCGCCCCCAGCCCGGAGAAGATGCCGGGGGGCAGCTCCTCCAGCCGGTTGCCATCCAGGCGCAGCTCAGTCAGCTGGCCAAGCGCCCTGAAAGCACCTGGAGGCACCCGTGCCAGCAGGTTGTCACTGAGCTTGAGGACACGAAGGGTGACAAGTGGGGCCAGCAGCCCTTCTGGCAGCTCAGCCAGAGCATTCTGTGAGAGGTCCAGGGCCTGGAGCCTCCGGAGTGGGCGGAAGATGCCTGGGGGCAGTGCCTCAATCCTGTTCCCTGACAAGCTCAGGTCCTGCAGGCGGCAAGAGGCAGTGAAGAGCCCCGGCTGCAGGGTGCGGATGGTGTTGGCACTGAGGGAGAGCTTGCTGAGGCTGGTCAACCCTGCCAGCATCCCGAGGCTGACAGCTGGCAAGGGGTTGCCTGACACCTCCAGCTCAGTGAGGCTGGGCAGCCCCTGAAAGGCACCAGGCTCCAGCTCCTGGATGTTGTTATTGATAAAGACCAGCTTGGTGAGCGTGGTGCTGGAGCCCAAGTCCCCGCTGTGGATGCTGCCCAGGTCTGTTCCCACGAAGAAGAGGTGGGTGGCACTTCCTGGCAAGCCCTCGGGGATCCCCCGCATCTTCTCGTTTGAGCAGAAGACTTTGGAGGTGTCATAGCACTGGCAGGTAGGGGGGCAGGATGGGGACAATGCCCCCACCAGCAGGGGCCCCAGCCCCAGCAACACGTAGATCACCAGCCTGCACTGGAGAAGGAACCAAGCCTTAGCCCATGCACCCACAGGCAGGCACTGCTGGGGAAAGGGCTTCTGCAGCCAGAAATGCAGCAGGATCTAGATCAACCTCTGAGACACCACCAGCATAGGAGCTGCCCTGGCCATGGGGCATCCCACCAGCCCCTGCTGCCAGCACCTCCCCAGCACTCCCCTTGCAGGAACGGGGAGCACTTCCCTCCCAGATGTCTCCCCAGGGTTTTTACTCTGTGCCCCAGCCCACCCTGTGACAACTGGGGTGACGCCACCCTCACCAAAGGTGGTGAGCAGCCACATCCTGCAGAACAGCAGCTGAGGTGGGACCTGTGGGGGTCTGTGGAAGTCTTGGGGGAAACCTGTACCCTCATCAGATGTCTCCACAGGCACAAAGCCAGGTTCTAGGGAGGAGAATATGTGGAACACAGGGTTGTACTGCGCACACTGGGTGATGGGGACAACACTGCAGGGCTGCTCTGAGCTCAGTGCCAATAGCTATGGGCTGCCCCACTTGTATTTCTAATTGCCTGTCGGGTACTTCTTTTTCCACTAGGAATCAGAGCAGCATCAACCTGCTGCAGGGATATTCAGCCTGACCAAACACCTATTCCCAGTGCACAGAAGCATTTTTTTGAGGCAGTAGCCCCCAGCCCTCTGCCAGCCCCTCCCTAGCTGGGATACATGCCAGTGCTGCCTTGTGATGGGGAATATTGCCCACCCCAGAGCAACGCCCACCTACAGTGGAGCTCTCTGGACTTATTCCGGCACTTGAGAGCAGCACTGGGCTTGGCATTTCCTTTCCTCCATCTCGTTGTGTTCACCAGAGCCAACAGAGGCTCCCACCCATCCCAGGGCCCCAAACTACCCAAGCAGTGTGGGCACCACTTACCAAGTGTGGCATCACGGGGACGGTCACCGAACCTGTGGCAGACTTGCAGGGATGCTGCTTGCTGAGATGGGACAGTGTTTTCTGGGCGGATGGGAGGCCAGGGACTGGCTGTTCCTGCTGGGGCGGAGCTGCCCCTCACTGCTTATCAGCAACAACAACCCGTGTCCTTGGAGCACTTTGAAAAATAACCCAGCCTCAGAGGGACTCGAGGGGAGGCCAGAGGCAGCTGCCTGTCAGCATCCTGGCAAGGAAGTGGGGTTCTGGCCCCGGACATCCACTGGTGCAGGGATGGTGGCAGGGTGCTGCCGTCACAGGTGGCTCCAGTCCCACAGCAAGGTCAGCATACTTGCTTCCAGAAGCCCCCTAAGAGAGCCCCAGAACTTCATTACATCTCACTGGGAAATGGTGCTCAGAATATCTCTGCCATGAGAGAAGCGACCAGGTGCAGCTTAGCAAGGCAGATGAAGGTTGTACATGAGGTTAGAGGTTTTTTCCAACCTTATGATTCTTCGGGGAGGGAACCACTGTGGGACCATCATGGTGGTCACCAGGGATTTTACATCCCAGCCAGGAGTGGGATGGTGAGGGACCCATGGATCTGCTGAATTCTCTAGGAGTTTCAACCTGCCTGGAGGAGCAGCACACACTGCCATAAAAGCTGCATTGCAAGGGCCTGCGCTGGCACGGGCCGGGCTGGCAGCAGCCATGGAGACACCCCCAGGGGCAGGAGGAGGGATGCACTCAGTCAGTCTCATGGAGCAGATGGTGACACATGGAAAAAGACAGCTGACACAATCCAGAGGCAGCCAGCTCTGAAAGGAGCCAAGCAAGCTCCCCACCACCCCAGCAGTGCAGTGTGCAGGAGACAGTCAGTGTCTCCATTGAGAAGCTTGCTGAGGTCTCAGCTCACTCTCCAAAAACCCACCCACTGCTGTTGTATGGCTTAGCCCTCCTTGGTCCATCATCCCAGGCTGGAATCCAGGGACCAGCAAGGGCTCTGCAAACACAGCCCACTAACCCTCTCCCAGCCTTACCAGCTCATACAGACTTTTCCTCAATGCTGTAAAAATCTCTGAGGAGTGGAGATCAAGTGCAGGCCCTGCTGGGCCATTCCCGTGCTTCCCACCATAAAGGAGTGAATAAACAGCTCTTGGCACTCAGAGTGGACAGTGGCTCTTTAATGAGAAGGTCACACATCAGCACCCAACAGCCCCGTGACACAGTCATGAGTCTCCTGTTGCCATGCAGGACTCTGCCCAGAGGGGTGACCCATCACATGCACCAGCTTGCATGGTGGAGATGCTTGCACCAGCACTGGCTGCTGAGGTGTGTGAACAGCCAGCACTGCAGGGTGGACACCAAACACACACCTTGTCCCACAACAGCAGTCCTCAGGCAGGCTGGTGCCACTGCAGCACACATGGAGGTGAGCTCAATCCCCCCATGGGCATGCTACAGCTGGAGAAGGCAGCTGGATGCAGGGGGGGATGGTGTGGCACCCATTTGCAAACCGCAGAGCAGCCAGCACTCTGTGCTGCCAGCATCCCCCTGGCCAAGGGCTGCACCCAGCAGGGGCACTGGGCACACACAGGAGAGCACTCAAGGGAGTTAGAAGAGGATGAAGAAGCTTTATCAAACAGAGCAGGACCAGGTTGCTCACTAGCTTGTGGAGGGTGTTAAGGAAATGAGGACCGGGAACGGGATGCAGCAGAAGCAGCCCCAGCATGCTCCAGCAGTCCAGGAGCACAAGCACAGGAGCTTCTCCCAGCCCCTGCGGGACCTTCACACCCATTGTCCCACTCCTCTACCCTCACAGTGCAAGCCCCTGGCACCCTGTGGGGCTGAGGCAGGGCGCTGCAGGCAGGGCCACAGCCACAGCAGGGTCAGCAGTGAGGGCTGGGGGGCTGCTCCTGCCCATCCCTGATGCCAGCACACTGTCCCCTGGCTCTCCTGGCTGCAGGTGCACGAGGGAAGCAGGCAGATGCTGGGAGCAGGAGAGGGTGCTGGCTGTGCATTGGCCTGCCCTGCCAGCAGGCAGGGAGGGCAACTGGGAGGCAGCTGAGACACTCAGGGTGTGCCAGCCTGGCAGCAACCCAGCCCCACGGGGAGCCATGCCCAGGCACAGTGAGTGACGGAGCAGCAGAGGCCATGCAGCTCCCCCGGGGCGAAGGTGCTCGCCCGGCTCCTGGCCCAGCACGATGGCTCACACTGCCTGCCCAGGCAGGGCAAGGGGGAGGCATGGAGGGGGCAGAAGGTGGGGAAGAGGGGCTGGGCAGGGGTGAGGGCAGCAGGCAGTGTGAGGGCAGCAGCACTGCAGGGAATGAGGAGAGGTGAAGGATGGGGAAGTCCTGTTATTTGGGGTAAAGCACCATCATGGCCAGGCTGTGGCTCCTGGCTCGAGGGGTCCCTCTCTGCATCCCACACCTCAGCTGCTGGACCTGGGCAGGGAATGAGCACAGAGGCTGCACTGGAGGCAGGAAGGGCTGGGGATAGTGGGCAGCCATGGGAGGTCACTTGGTGGGAAGGCCCTGCTGCAGAGCAGGGGCAGGGCAAAGCAGAGCAGGACAGTGCTACACACAGCTCACACGGTGATGTTGTCCCATCCCAGTCAGCAAGGGCAACTGATGCAGAGCGACTGTCATGTCCTTTGACCCCACAAGCACCTCTGCCCTCAGGGTCTGCCAGAGACTCAGGCTTCATTCGGAGCCTTCATCCTCATGAGCACAACGTGGCTCTTCTTCCTACAGCCATAGACAACCAGTGCCACCAGAGCAGCCAGCAGGGCCACACACACCAGCACGATGACTGCTATCACCACGCCACTCTGCAGGCGTGTCAGCCCCCACTGCCCCCTCTCTTCTTCCTCCTTCTTCTCCTCCTCATCCTCCTGTGGGGAGGCGGGCAGCCCTGTGGGGGGCTCCATTGAGGCATCTTCTGCTGCTGAGGCATCATCTGATGCTGCCTCAGAGGTGTCAGCAGGGAGCAGGGTGCTGGGATGAGGAGCAGCAGTGGGGGCCTGGGGGTCGAGGAACTGGTCCTGTGTCAGCCCGGCAATGGGGATGCCCTGCAGGGCGGGAGGCTGGGCACACAGCGGGGGGATCTCACCCACCTTGTGAGGGTTCTCCTCCACCCAGCCCTGCAGGGGCAGGATGCCCTTGTCGCAGCGCCAGGAGTTGTTGTGCAGCCTCACCTCTCGCAGGGCAGTCAGCGGGGAGAAGATTCCAGCGGGCAGGAACTCCAGGGCATTGGAGTGCAGCTGCAGGTGCCGCAGCCCAGGGGTGGCCTTGAAGAGGCCCCGTGGCAGTGCCTGCAGCTGGTTATGGTGCAGAGAGATGTTCTGCAGCTTGGGCATCCCCTCCAGTGCCCGGGCATCCAGGCGGCGCAGGGCATTGGAGTGCAGCGACAGCTCCAGCAGCTCTCCCAAGCCCTGGAATGCCCCCGGTGCCACCGACCGCAGCCTGTTCTTGCTGAGAACCAGGAGCTGCAGCTGGGTGAGGTTGCTGAAGACGGCAGTGGGGAGGGTGGAGAGCTCATTCTCATAAAGCCAGAGCTCCTGTAGGTTGGGCATAGGCCCAAAGGCACTGGGGGAGATGTCCCGCAGGCGGTTGACGTGCAGGGTGATCTTGGCGAGAGCGTGCAGGGGCAGGAAGATGCCGCTTGGCAGAGTGGTGAGGAAGTTGTTGGACAGGTAGAGCTTCTGCAGGTTGGTGTTGTGCACAAAGAGCTCCGGGGACAGTGTCTCCAGCTGGTTCTGGTGCAGCCCCAGCTCCTGCAGCTCCGGCAGCCCATCAAAGGTGCCCACCGGGATGTGCCGGAGCCGGTTCTCGTAGAGCCTCAGCACCTGCAGCCGCGCCAGCCGCTCGAAGGCCCGGGGCGGCAGGCGGTCGATGTTGTTCCTGGCCAGGTTGAGCTTGGTGAGGCTGGTCAGCTGGTCAAACACCCCCTCCTGCAGCTCCTTCAGGTTGTTCCCGTGCAGCTGCAGCTCCTTGAGGTTGCTCAGATGGGCGAAGTGGGAAGGCTCGACCTGGAGGATCTGGTTGCTGGAGAGGAGCAGAGACTCCAGCTTGTCCAGAGGCTCAAAAACCTGCACAGGGAGCTCCTGCAGCTTGTTGCTGGCCAGGCTGAGGTAGCGCAGGTCGGGCAGGTTCTGGAAGGCCCCTGGGCTGATGCGTGACAGGATGTTCTTCTCGACGCGCAGCCCGATCAGCAGGGAGGCGTTGCCGAAGGCGGCGTCGCCCAGCTCGGCGATGCGCGTGTTGATGATCTGCAGGGTCATGGCGTTGGCAGGGATGGGGCTGGGCACCGTGGTGATGTCGGCACCAAAGCACTCCACCTGGGCGCTGCGGACACACTGGCACTGCTCTGGGCACTGGCTACTGGCCAGCTGGATGCCCACCAGCAGCAGCAGCCATGGCTGCCAGCCTCCCTGCTCCATTGGGCCTGCACACAAAACAAAGGAGAGGGGTTCAATCCCTGCAATTTCCCAGCTCCCAGAGCCACTGCAAGGGATGGGTGCTTCTTTCCCCCTGGAAAAAGCCCACAAGGCTGTGGCCTTCCTGCCCCCAGCATGGCAACGAGGCAGAAAAGGGCAGACAAGGGAGGCTTGGGGCAGGCAAGGTTTGACTCAGCCCAGGCAGGAGCTCAGAGCAAGACAGAGTTGGAAGCCACAATGCCTGGCTGCCATACCACAGCTATTAGTGGCATGCCTGGCGTCCCAGCTCTCTTGGCTCCTCTGGCAGCTGGGAGTGTGGTTTCCTGTTTTACAGAGTGTGGCGACCTGCTACCAGCAGCGCTGGCCTGCTGGCACCACCAAAGAGCCCAGACCTTCACCAGAGCTGGCCCATGGCACCTGCAGCGGGTCCCAGCATTGCCCCAGCACCCCCAGCACCCTCTGAGCTCTGAGCTCCTGTTGCAAAGCCAAGAACTGTGCCCAGGGATGCTTCAGCCCCAGTCCTGCAGGAGCCTGGGTCAACAGGGCCCTTGCCAGCTCCCCAGCACAGGCTGGGTACAGGCTGGCCCTGTGTTCCCCCATCCCTAGCGAGGTCTCAGCCTGGCCTTTTTTACCATGAGTGGGGTGTCTGCTGTGGGCACGTGTATGCAGGCTGGTGTCAAGGGTGGTGCCCAGCAGAGCTCTCCATTACCCCACGAGCACAGATACCACTGACACCTTCTCCTCTCTCCTGTGGCCTGTGAGCTTCCTCCCTCCCTAGATTAAAGCAGCAGCCTTGTGCCAGGCTGGCATGGAGCAGCTCCCCATTAACAGCTTCATGTGGCACAAGGGAGGAGAAAACTTGCAGCTCCTGCTCTGAGCACAGCTCAGCCAGACAGGCGACTCAGGCAGCACAGGGGTCTGGTCACAGTGCCCCAGCTGGCGCCCAGGGTATTGGGGCACAGCCCCTGCCCTCTTCCCTGCCCTCCCCACAGGCAACAGTCTTGCTCTCAGGCAGGGAGGGAGGAACCCTCCCTCCACAAGCCAGCGTGGTTTATGTTTCTCATATGGAAACAATCTGCATCCAAGAACAGCTATGTTTATAGCAAGATATTTATAAACTTCCCCAAAAGCTCAGCACATCAAAAGCCCTGCTCATGTCCCTCCCTGGTAAGGCAGCACTGAGAGCACCCACACTGGAGCAACCTTCAGGAAGGCAGCTGAAAACAGCTATCTCTTTTTCTTCTAGGGATAAAAAACTTACAGACTAAGAGGCTGAACATTGTCTGCTGCTCAGCCCCTCAGCATCTCACTGCTCCTAACATCAGTCCCCCCCAAACATTACTTTGTCCCCTTTAATTTTCTCTCTTGATCATTGTCTGGGATACATCGCCTATGTAACTCTTTCAGCTCCCACAGCATCTAAGTTTCAGAAGTTTTCGGAGAACCCTTGCAAGATAAACATCTCCATCAAATAAAAAGGTGCTGAATGTGCAGATCCCACCACTCCACCACCAACCCTCAGAACTGCCCTGGGAGTCCCTGGAATCCGTGTCCACTCAGAGGGGCAGCAGGAGAAGGAGACTTACCCGAGTGTCCTGCAGCCACGAGCACCGAGCGAGCACAGCTCCGTGCTGGCAAGAGAGCAGAGTGTGGTTCATTCTTCCCCTCCCAGTATATAACCCGTCCAAATCAATGAATCAGCACAGGGGCAGTGGCAGGGTTAGGGAAAGCACTGGAGCAGAGCTGCTTCCAACTCCTATTTCCTCAGCAGAGCAAGCATTTCAAGGATGAGTTTTGGGTTTCCCCCTCCTGAACCCCAGTGCTCTTGTAAGCAGACAAGCAGAGGGCCCTGTGAACATGCTGCTCATGTCAGCCAGTGCCCAGACAGTGGCTCATCCCTCGGAGTCCCCCTGGTCTCCAGAGGGACACAGCCACTGATCTGTGGGGGCAGACAAGCAAAGCCAGACCCCTAGGCACAACCCTGTCCTTCCCTGGCACGAGTTCACACCAGGGCTGCTCCATGGCACTTCCTTGGCATAGGCACAGCTCTTGCTTCCCTGTCTTTGGCTCCTGTAAGTGCCAGGACCTCCGGCTGTGCCCCAGCCCAGGGCCACCAGGGCAGGCAGACCCCTGGCACACTGACCCTGCCCAGGTCACAGCTCTCATTCCCCCCACAGCCGCAGATGCCAAGGGGCCACAAACCCATGAGCACCCACTGAGGGCTCTGTCCTGTGGGCACCACAAGCAGCACTGCCAGGAAGGGAGAACTGTGCCAGGGCAAGCAGCTCTGTGGGTGCCAGCCACAGGCCAGGCTGCTTCAGAGAGCCCTCAGTAAGCCAGAGCATTGCCCACAAGCCCTGAGAAACACCTTGGTGCCAAGGAACCCCCACTACAGGCATCCCTGGAACCCCAGAGCAGCACAACAGCTGTCTCCCAGTGGCTGCCCCTGCTGTGCCCCCTCAGCAGTCCTGACACACGGGTGATGGAGCCTGGTACCCAGGGGTGTTTGGAAAGCATCCAGCTACTTGTTCAGGGGCACCTGCTGCCACCCCTCCCCACCCCCCCAGCACACACGGGTGCACTGGGGTGCCCATGGGTCCCATCACCCAGCCCAGGTCTCCCCACCTTGCCCACCTCCTCCGGGCAGTCCCAGTCCAGCAGCTACCGGGAACGGATATTCAGGAGGAAGCAGCTAAGGACACTCAGCCTTACGCGGCCCCTTGGGGCTTCCTGGAGAGCCACTGCAGCCCTTGCTAAGCACGGGGCAGCTGGAACTTCCCTGCCTGCCTCTCATCCGTCCCACCCCTCCGCCGGTTGCAGCAGCCTCTGCTCAGGCTCCGGTGGCACTGAGGAGCTGCTCAGGATGGGAACAGCGTGGGGCTGCTGCCGGAGAAGGGGGAGGAAGTGTGTCATGCTGGGAGGGCTGGGAGCGTGCAGGGCAGTGGAAGGGACAGCTGCCCTGCTCAGAGAGGGGACCAGACCAGGACAAACAGCAAACTGCAGGGATGGAGAGCAGAGTTCCCAGACAGTCTCAAAGGAAGGAGACAGGGATCATGGGAACGTGTTAGGGAATGGGACCTCAGCTGGAGGCCACGGCCACCATGATGTCACATTGCATGGGAGGCCCATCTGCCATAGCACATGCTGGATGGCCGTGGATCCCTCTGGCTGGAAAGTGAGTGCAGAGGCTGAAACTACCCCTGGCCATGCTTCCTGCCTGCCATGAGGCAAAACCCAGGCATTTCGGCACAGAATGGGCATTTTGAAAACACCACCCACCACGTGCTCTAGTTCACACTCTAGTGACACAGCGGATTCCCAGAGCCACATTTCCCAAAACAATCTCCCCACTTCTGGGACAGCAGTGCAGCTGGAGGTCAGGCACTGGGCAGGTCTGGCATGCGAGCAGGGCTCTCACAGCCTTATCGTGGCTCTGTCTGCCCACTGCCAGTGCTGCTGGGCTTCTGCCCACTCTGACTCATCCAGAGGCTCACAGCTTTTCAGCAAGGCAACACAGAAACCAAACCTCAGCACTTCCGATAAACCACCGTCCCAAGCCCAACTCATCAGAGGAATGTGGGACTCTTCTCCTGAGCAGTGCTGCCCCAGGGCAGACCGGGATGGGTACCTTAAACACCCTGCCCCAACAGGAGGGGTCATCAGATTATGGTCCCTAGCACCATGAAAAGTTCAGAGCAGTCCAGGTAACAGCCCTGACAAAAACCCGCCTGCCTCTACCCAGGCCTCAGGAAACTGCCTCTGGCTTCCGGCCGGAACAGATGATTGTTTTCAAGACATAACTAAAAATAAAGCAGGGCTGAGTAACAGATGGCACATGCTGAGCCACTACAGCAGCCACTCCCAGAGGTGAGCACATGGGAGGTTGCCCCAGGCTACTTACAAGGGAGAGGAACAGAGGGTGTGAGAGCACCCTCACCCTGCTTGGGACAGCAGCCCATACCCACCCCGCACATCTGGAGGGGAGAGGCAGCTCCAGAGACAGCCCATGGCTGTGACTGAGGGTGAGATTAGCATTTAGCAGGGAGAGGCTGTTTCATGTAGCCAGGAAATCACACGGAGCTGGATGGAGTGGGTCTCATGCTGCTGGAAAGCATTGCCTGAACCTTTCCCACCTCCAGCTGCGCCAACCAGAGGCCCCCCTGACCAAGCCCTGGACACTGTTGTATCCCTGCACCTTCAAGGAGATGCTGGAGCCCCAGAACAGCAGCATCACTTATTGCTGGAGCTGTCTGCCTTGTACAGGACAGCAGGACAGTCCCGTGTCTATCTGTCCCTGCTGGCACATCTCCAGCACATCCCCACGGCCAGGGTGGCGGATGCAGCAAAGCTGAGTGGCTCTGAATCACCAAGGGACTCGAGACTGCTTGGAAAAATTCATGTAATCGCTAAAATTAGCAGCTTGCAGGCTTGGCTGGGAGAGCACACTGTTCATCTGCCAAGCAGCTGAGCGTGCTCACCCACGCCGTGCAGACACAGCTCCCCCTCAGCCCCTGCTCACCTCCAGCTGTGCCTGAGCTGGCACCTGGGCAGGGTGGGCCCTGCCCATGGCTGCTGCTCCCTCAGTGCAGTGCTGGGACCCCCCCCAGTAACTCTGTGCTGCTGCAAAGTGCCCACCCTGCTTGAACCCCCCACCCCGGTGGCCCCTGGTGCACGCAGAGACCAGCTGGTCGCAGGCAGCGGGCCAAGCACCGCTGAAGCAGAGGAGCAGGGTGGAGGGCTGGGCTAGGGGCCACAGAGGGAGTCCTCCCCGTGTTCCAGCACAGCGAACACCCCTGAGCCCTGCAGCAGGACCCACAGGCTCACAGCACAGCTGAGGGGTGAAGGAAGGGGCATTAGTCCCTCAGGGAGTGCTGCTGGGGCCACCTCCACCCTCAGAGAAGCACCGGCAGCCCCTGCCTCACCACGGGCCCACCCGAATCCTTTGAGGAGCCCAAATGAAAGAATTCCTCCATAGGGCCAGTGATCCAGCCATAGCGACATTTCCCTCGCTGCTTGCGGAATGCAGGGCCCGGGCTGCCTCACTGCTCATGCCATCATCTGTCCCAAGGGAAGGGGATATGCCCTGCCTTCCCTGGGAAAGTGCTTTTGCAAAATGGGAACCCGGGGGGGGCAGCAGCAGCTTTGGTCCGTCGAGGACGGTCAGCAGGGACGGCCATGGGGCTGAACCCCCGTGCAGGCAGCAGCCCCAGGCCCACCGCAGGCCTCCTGCAGCTCCGGGAAATGGCATCCAAGCTCCAGTGGGGCTCACCCCACCAGCAGAACCGTCTCCTCCAGGCTCAGCCCTGGCCCCAGCGATTGCAGCAGCACACAGGGCTTGGCCCAGGCTCAGGGCAGCGCTAGGCTGGAAGGAATGCGGGGCCGCGGCCAAGTCCGCCTGCAGAGATAATCCGAAGCGGAAGGAGCTTGTCCGACTGCCCGTGAAAGTGAAGGACCAGCTGGAGCAGGAGGTGATGGCATGGGGCTCATACCCTGAGAAATGCTTCCTGGATCAGCTCCCTCTCTGTAAAGCCACCTCTGGCATCGTGAAGTGTCCCAGAGACCTCTTCCCAACACATGAAGGGAGAAGGGGGCCTCATTTCTTCCCAGGAGAAGCCAGCAGAGGAGTGAACAGCAGACTGCAGAGCTGCTGCCAGCCATCACTGGCTCTCTGCCCTGAGCTTTTTCGATGCAGAGAGACACAAAGGCACAGCTGGAAGTCTGGCATGCCAGTCCTACAGCAGCAATTGCCCACGGGCTCAGGGCAGTGGTGGATGGCTCCAGGTGCTGCTGGAACAGAAATTCCCACCATGTAGTGACTCACCCCCCTTGGCCCAAGTAAGAGACTTTACCAGGGCTTATCCACCCACAGATACCCACAGGTGAGTATAAACCCAGATTTTGGCTATAAAAATGGAAGCATAACACCTCCCTAGTTTGTCCCTGGCTGGGACAAAGCAGGAGCTTCAGCCCTTGTCTGGTGGGAACATGCCTTGGGCTGCGTCTCCTCCCAGCTCTTCTGACATCCCTAGGAAATGCTCTGATATTATCAGGGCTGCCAAATCAGCAGCCCTAGGCAAGCTGTGCTGGTTGGAGGCCTAGCGAAGACACAGCCAATGCTCCATAACATCAGGCAGAGGCTCCCAGAGCTCCTGCCTTGCAGCCAGCAGCTGCATGCACTCCTGACCCACAGAGCACTGCTGGGGGCCTTGTCCAAGCACATCTGCCACCACCCTACTTCCCTTTGACATCAGGACAGGGAAGATTTGAGGTGCAGGCTGTGATCTTGCTGCTGTGCATTGGAGGACTGAACTGCATTTCACAGGCAGCTGCCCAAGCTCACTGCCCTCTGCAAGCAGTGACAAGGGCCCTTCTGCAGTTCCTGGTCTCATGGGGCAGAGGTGGTGGGATGGAAAGGACCAGGACACTAGGGACACAAGGAAAGGATATGTGTGCTGGTGGCTTGGAAGTGTTTGCTGCAGTGGATGTGAAACAGGCAGAGCTGCCACTGTTTGTGGCAGCAGTTCATTCAATTCTGTGCTTTTGGGACTCTGGCTTCAAATCCCAACAAGCAAAGGAGAATGGCATTTGTAGTGACATCAAGGTAGAAACATGATGAATAGTCCCATGGCTTGGTACAGGGCAGGTCAGAGCTCCCACTGCTCCAGGATTTCCTAAACAGAGAGAAGAGGAGCAACTGCTACAGCAGCATTTGAAGGGACAGAGCGAGCTATGACTGGGCTGGCCCAGCTGGCCTGGTGGTGAGATACCCAAGCACTCCCAGCCAGGAAGCAGGTCCTTGACTTGGAGGTCTCGATAACATGCAGGGCTGTTAACCATGACTCTGCACCTCCATCAGGAGCCAAGAAAGTGGAACCAAACCCTTCAGCCACTGTATGCAGATGTGCTTTGCATTCACCTCTTCTCTAATATCAGAGACTCACTGGATCAGGGATTAGGTACCTCCAGTTTCTTACCTCCAGCCTACTGTGTTCCCTTCTAGCCTGGTGGCAAAGGCTGGGCAGTAGATGATGCAAGTGTGGGCTGCAGGGAGTGAGAAAATCCTTGCACACAAAGGAATGGTGTTTTGAGGCAGCAGTGAGGCAGGGCTGCCCAGAGAGGGTCTGGGGACCAGCCTGCTGCCTTCCTGCCTGCCACAGCTGCATCATGCTGACCTGGACAACTATCCCTTCTCCAGGAAAAACAGGAGTGGGGTATGCACGAGGATATCCTTGGATTTCCCAGGCAGGGAGTTTTACAGGAAGGGCTGAGCTCAACTGGGCAAGAAACAATGAATCAGAGGCAGCTCAAAACAGTACACCTCAGAGGAAAGTTAGTAAACCACCCCAGGCACTCATTGCTCCAGCCTTTTGTTGTCTGATGACTTCACTTCCCCGTCTGGTCTGGCTCAAGCGTGGGGAAAGCCCGATGACAGCATGTGAAGAAGAATCATCCTCTCCTAGCACTTGACTGTTCACAGCTCTGTGCCAGAGCCCCCACGTGCCAGAGCTGGAGCTCAGCTCAGCATCGGGAGCCAAGGAGCAGCGTGGGGGCCCAGCTGGCTCCCCTGCAGGGCCAGGGCAGCCAGAGGAGGGTTCAAAGGCAGCAGCTGCTGCTGCCCTGCTGCCCTTGCGTTGGACAGCAAGGTGTCGTAGCCATGCCATGGGCACACACTGCTTTTCCTTAGAAATCAGACACTGCATCCAAGCGCCCGGAGCACACTTCCTTCACTGAGGCAACGATCACCAGCATGGTTTGTAGAACTCAAAACCAGAATTTCCTCACTAGTCCTGATTATACTGCCCTGTCTGCTGTCAGCAGACGCCTGCGTGGCACCATGCAACAGCGCTGGAGTGGCACAGCACTAAGTGGTCATTACAGCTGTCCAACCAAGAACCTAAATTTGCAACAACTCTCTCTTCCTAAACACTACATGCAACCACCCAGAACCACCACTGAGAAAGCTCACTGTTGGGTTTGTGCTTCTCTCAATTATATTGCAGCAAATATTCTTGAGCATCTGTTTATGATTCCAGTCACAGCTTGCTTTGCATCACTTGCAGTGACTTGCATTTCTGCTTCTTTAGAGATAGCTCTAACTCCCATTTAGCCAGGTTTGCTAAATTTTGTTAAACTTCACCAGCAAGACAATGACCATTTAACACTACAGAAGCACATTCTCTCTTTTCAAAGTCTGGAAGAGATATTTAGGCCCAGCAGCAGAGTACCCTGAAACAAAGCAGTCAGAGTTTATTCTCACTACCTAGAGTAACACACGGCAGGGAACCAACCATAACCAACCTGCAGGAAATTCAAGTTTTCTTCACCTCAAGTCTGTTACACATTTAAAGGCCATCCAGGAAACTCCCTAGTAGTGAGAAAGTCACTAAGGTTACAAAATGGAGTAGAGGCTCTCTGGCACAAGGAGTCAGGGATCCACACCCAGAGGTTTTTAAGCACATCAGCATTTTTAAGAGCAAACTAAGTCCCATAATATAGATAAAAGCTGATAGTTAAATCCAAGAGCTAAAGCACAGGCAGTCTGACAGCCACCAGTCTACCTATGAACTAAAATATTCACACAATTCAAAGTATTAATAAAATGTTAGTATAATGACCAAAACCCACACTACTGCCTAGTAATTGCCTTTGCATATCAACACCTGGAAGGACTGGAAGACAGGGAACAGCAATATGTAAAGTAAAAAATAATGAGACTGAAAATGTGTCTGAACACTCCAAGTTGATGAAGCTGTGTACATTCCCCAGCCAGCTTCAAAATGGAGGTGACACTTCATGGCCCTCAGTTCAGGCAGGCTTCCTGCCCCTCAGCTGCATGCTGCTGTTTTGCCAGCCAAGCCCAGGAGAGACCATTCTTTTCTCTCCCAGCTCAGTCGAGATCAGCTCTCAAACCAATTCACCCCTGTGGAGCCCCTTCTCAGTCCTAGGCATCCACCTGGTACATTGGTTTCAATATTCCCTGCATCACACAGCCAGGAACTGGCTGTTTTTGCAGACCACTGGCCAAACTTTAAGGATGAAAGTGTTTACTTAAAATCCAGAGTTGTAGGAACTTTACAGTTTCCAGGAAATCTCCAATCAAACAATAAAATACATCAAGATTATACTTCCTAGCTCAGCATCTTTCTCTGCTGTTAGCTTCAATTGGTACCCCTTCTTCATGCCATGTCCTAGAAAGGGGCTGAGGAAGGAAAGCAAAAGTTAAGACACTTGCACCACACCATTCTGCAAACATCCCCATTGTTTAAAGGTCCTTCCCAGCATCTTCTCCCAAAACCACCATTTGTCTTTTCAGTAAGGAGACAAAAGATTGCAGGCAGTAGAGGAAATAATATTATTGAAGTACGTTGGGTGATCTCTAAAGCACAGTTGAAGCCATGTTCCTTTGTTGTTCCTCCATTGATGGCACTCCACCTGAGCAGTGAACACTCAGCAGGCAGCAGCCTCTGGCAGGGGACAGGGCAGCACTCCAAGGAAACCCATGGCACAGGTGCAGAGGTGACCACAGTACTTCCACCTTGCCCTCTGGGTTTGTGCATTAAGTGCTGTAGCAATTTACAGTGACTAGAGCCGTTCTCAGCAAATGCTGCAAGATGCATAAAGTTAATTTTCATTATGCTATAAAGACAAGGTCCTCATGGTCTTTGCTATGAAGAGCTGTAATCCAGATCTGAATCGAGTATTAACTGCTCAAATGTTCAAAAAGCATCCAAAGCAACACTTCCAGTTCTTTATTGGGCTAGATTTCTCTATCTTCTTAATATTCTTATCAAAACTACAGGCTGAGCAGGATTATTTCTGGAGTGCAAGAGTTGCCTGGTGTTACCTATCACATACAGACTGAGCACAATGACTACAGACTGGAGTGTTAAAATCAAACAGTGAACACACAAGAATAGCTGGCAATAAGTAACTCTGGTATTAAAATAGGGTTTAGCACTGCTGTGGGCTGGAAACTCATCCCACCAGACAAGAGTAGTTAAATCTGTCCCTCTGACACTGTTGGTTCGTGCTATAATGCTGGGAGAAGCTTGGACAGGAACATCTGAGAAATGTAACCCAGGTTGTCCAACATCTTCAACATGGGAGTAGGTAAAACCTGGAGCTGCAGAAAGAATTGATGTGGGTGTGCTGGTGATTTCCATGTCAGACAGCACTGTTACAGCAGTCTCCCGAGATGATGTGAAGTGCTCTGCCACAGGAGATGTCAAAGTCTGGGAATAAGTTGAGCTGAATGTCTGATAGGTCATAGCTGTGGTTGGCAGGCACTCTGGGTCATCGATGCTTAGAGACACAAGAGAAGTATTCTGCAGTGCCACTGGGCTGTGGCACATCAGAGATGGCACATTTTTAACTATTGCTGTGCTCTTTTGCAGCCATTCTCGGAAGCCAAGAATTTGGCAATCGCATTTCCAAGGGTTGTCATCGAGGACAACTTCTTCCAGCTCAGGTAAAGCAGTAAAGAAGTCTGCAGGGAGAGACTGCAGGTTAGTACTATTCAGGTAAACTTTCTGGAGGTGCTTGAGATTATGAAAGAGGTTTCTAGGAAGAACCTCAAGCTTTGTATCAAAGAGGGAAATGTTCTGCAGTTTCTGAAGACTCAAAAAGATTCCCTCTGGCAAAATGGAAATATTACTTGTATGGAGAGAAAGGCCCCGCAGCTCAGTCAGGCCACTGAATACATTCCTAGGAAGAACCGTAAGCTCTGGGTTAAAACTCAGCACAAGAAGCTCTAAATTTGTCAAGTTACTGAACACAAAATCTGGTATTGTGGAGAGCTTTGTGTGATATAGCCAAAGGCTACCAAGATGCCTCATCTCCCCAAACAGCACTTCTGGAAGAGTCTTCAGTGGGTTCCTGTACAAGGTCAGTTTAGACAGGTCATGTAAGTGCAAAAAAAGGCCAGAAGGCAAAACCTGAAGTCTGTTTCTGGAGAGTGTCAGGGTTCTCAGTTTGCAAAGACAATTAAATGCATCAGGAGCAATGGAATGGATATTATTGGAATGCAGGAAAAGCTCCTGCAGCTCCTTCAGGCTATCAAATATACCAGACTCTATTGAAGACAGCCTATTAATATACAGCATCAGCCTCTCAAGCCTGGCTAATGCACTAAATATATTTCTAGGCAATGCTGCTAAGTAATTTCTTGACAAGTTCAGTACTCTGAGTTTGGTGAGGTTCTTCATCACACCACTGGGAAGTGCTGTTAGTTGGTTTTTGTTCAAATAAAGTTCCTGCAAACCAGCCAGTTTGTCAAACAGATTTTCCACAACAGATTTCAGCCTGTTACTTTCAATGATCAATTGCTGAAGCTGCACCATGTCATCAAATGCTTCTGGGGGAAGTTCAACCAGCTTATTATCTAGCAGTTTGAGAACTTTTAGCCTTCCCAAGCCTTTAAAAGCCATTGGTGAAACCAGAGCGATGTTGTTTGAAGACAGGATGAGATGCTGCAGTTCTGCCATCCTAGCAAAAACATCCTGTAAGTATGATACGTTAGCATTTGTTATGTGAATTTCTGTCATGTTGCAAGGCAGATTTAATAATTCCAGGTCTTTTATGTGGGGGCCAGAGCAATAAATTGCATTTTTTGAAGAGCAGTCACACTTCTCAGGACAAATAGATGCATCCAACTGGAAGAAAAGCTTGATCATCACTGACAAACGGAACACCAACATCCTTGTTGAAGTGCCAGAAACATTAGCTGTTACAAGAGATAAGAGAGAATCAGGATTTGATCATAGGTAACTTAGCAGCTCACAAAGATGTGTGATTGTATCATAAACCTGCAAATGTGTACAACATTTCCTTTGCCTTGAAAGCAAACTTCAAAATCTTTTATTGTCGACTATTTCTGACATGCTCAGCTTACACGGAGAAGTACAGATAAATTAACTTTTGTAAATCAAGTATTCCTTGTCTATCTGTACCAATTAACTATAATAAAAGCAGACAAAAATCAGGATGAAACCCTTAAGTAGTCAAAAGACATGCATTTATTTGAACAGAAAAGCATTACAGAATCACAGAAAGGTTTGGGTCAGAAGGGACCTTAAGGATCATCTCTTTCCATCTGACAGGGACATCTTCCACTAGACAAGGTTTAGTATATTATACTAAATTACATGCCAAAAATATTCTCAAAAATTATCAAAAGGTCCTGCACTCACTGTGTTTTTCCATTGTAAGTTATCTGAGGTTTAAAAATAAAGTTTAGCCTGCAAAAATAGACAATGGAGGTAAAAAGGTTGCCCTGTACTTTAAGTGGTGAAAAGCAAAACAGCACCATCCAATTAAATCCTGTCTCAGCATTTTCAAGTGATGGCTTCTTGGAACAACCCAGGAACACACAAGAAGGAACAGGCTATTTCTGACACAGCCTGAAATAACACAGAAGACCCCATATGGCACAGGACAGTAGTGAGCCTCTGATAACCAACAAGCCTCATTTCAACAGCTTAACACAATGACAAGCTATCAGCAGTGGTATCAGAAGTACAATGAAATGAGAGGAAAGACGTGCACAAAATTAGATGGGAAGTTGTAGCAATAAAGGTACATCTGCATGAAACACACAACAAAGTTGGAAAGCTGCATACATTCCCAAACAAACAGGAAAGCAATCATTGTAGGTATAAATAATATTTAAAAGAGCAAAGCAAACAGAAACCCACAGTCTAGAAATATTTCCTCAATGAAATCAACAAGCCCAAGTGTATCAGAACCTGGATGTCAAGCACTGGCTGAACAGCAGAATAAGCAGCAGCTGGGACCACTGGAATAGATACACAACTTCCACAGATGTAACTGGGATAGCTGACACAATGTCAGTCCTCTGCACTAGGAACATGGGGGGAGAGGAAGGCTCCATCCCCAGATTCTCTTTTTCAGGGGCAAGAATGAAGCTCTCCCATACCAATCCCATAGACAGACTTGGGTACAACCTCCTTCACTTCAAGAGAAGTCAGGAAGAACAGGAGAACTTCTCAGGTACCTGAACTGCTGACATACCACAATGGACCCAAAACAGCTGCATGTCCAAACTAGCTNAAAAAAAAAAAAAAAAAAAAAAAAAAAAAAAAGAGAGAGAGAGAGAGCAAAAGGGAGTTATTTAAAAAATAAAAATTATTCAGCTTCAGCAGAGTACTGAAGTCTGGTAAAATCTCTAATTCTCCCTCAAGAAGGGAAGGACACAGCATTTAGGGTTCTCAATGACCAGCAACATGGTGCCACAAAGCAAGATTTCAGTGGGTTTTTCACAACTCATTGAATGAGACAGAGGCATCACCAAAAAATAGCAAGAGATTTCACTCCTCCTAAGTCTTTCACATGTCAAACAAGAACCTTTCAGAGAATCTCACCCTCCTAGTAATCCTCCCTACCCCAAAACTCTCTGTCATAAGCCAGTGATGCTTTAACCTCAATAAATTTCTAACTCAGCCTGTCCCTGATTCTACCTATCCCAAGCAGAACCCTCCATCCAGAAACACATTAAAAAATTTCTTTCAAGCCCTGACTGACATCTTAACCTACACCAACAACTCAAGACCACAGAACTACAGGATGTAGTTAGACGAGAGAAGCAAGGATCTAGAGAACCAAATGGATAGAAAACCCCCCCATTTGTTATGCTAGAAACTGCAAATGCAGGTCCCTTGGAAGGTGTGACTACAGGCCACTCTGTAAAATCAGAAACAGACTAACACTAGCCTGTAGGTTTGTGATGACTGCTTTCCTGGTCTTTTAGCAAAAGATAAGAGAGTATACAAGAAGACAATGAGATGCTCAGAAATGCTAGAAAGCACTAGTTTTGACAAACAAACAGCAAAATGGTAGAAATTCTTTGCAAGATATGAAGGTTTTAAGTGCTGCCACAAGAACTGGACAAGCCTACCAATCTCCAACATCTAGAGCTGCTAACAGTCTTTTCTGAAAAAACATTTAAAGATTTTAACAGTACAGATTACAGTAATACCCACAATAAAGATCATAATTATATGTTCCCATGCATTAAAATTCACTCAAACCCTCCTGTGACACCTGGCATTCCAAAAAAGCCTGGCTGCTCATATACCAAGGTCTGGTCTACAGCCTCGTTCCCTTTCAGCCCCCTCTCCCCGCAGTAATATTTCTCAAGACTACAAAAGGATGCCAGAAGCATTAATACATTAATTCTGTTATTGTCTCAGAAGTCTCAAATCAGTTTTGAACATACAGAACACTGAGCACATGTATTGCTTATAGTGGTGCTTACCTCTTTTAGTGTCTTGCAAGTTCCTAAACTCATACAAGCATGAAAAGGGAATTTTGAGCTGTACCTTAGAAACTTATCTGCTTTTTAAAGGAACTTACTAGGAGCAGAGCAGGCAATCAGGCTTCACCATGACACTGCACTTTAAATGGGAAGTAAAACAGCAAAACGCATCCTCTAGATAACACTGTCACCCGTGTTTGCCCAGTTACTGAGCCAGGCCAAAGGCCAAACAATATTTAAAGCTTCTGAGCAGATTTTTGCCTACAATTGTTCAAGCAACCAACTTCCACAGGTTGTATGTAACTCCAAAAGTAGGGCTTGAAGCCACTCAGGTAACAGGAGAAAGTTTTAAGTCACACACCTGACAGCAGAAAACCCACTTGCAGCTTCTTTGGCAGTGATATTGGAGTATGTGTTTCAGCCAACCCAAAGCAAATCTGAGTGAAGTCCGAAATCTACATTTCAATGTGAGATGTGATCAGAAAGGTCAAATTTGTCACTGGTCTGCTAAATAGAGTTTGAAGGAATGGAAACATCCACTTTAAACCAAGTGCTCCTACATTCATAAAGCTGCTCTGACTTTTAATTTCTTGCAGGATTGGAGTCAAAGCAATTTCAGTAAGGAATGAAGGGGCTTTTTACTTAATGCTTTGGCTAAGCATTCCAAGGTTGACACATTTAGTTTCTGTTTTGCCTCAAAGTCCTCTGGAGTGGCAGGCCAGTAAAACCTAAAACCTGTAAGATTCTGAAAGAGAAAAGCTAAGTTGTAAAAATAGAAGCTTGAAATTGAAAGATTACGTTTTTGTTAAGTAAAAAGGTATTTTAAGTATCCTGTCTTCAAATGTAAAATAATATGCTCTGCCAATGACTGTTTCAACAGAAGGTGAGCCCAGGACAGAAAAGGTGTCTTCATTTCCTCATGATTTTTCTGAAGATGACTGTGACAATGGTGACAGCTCAGATCATGCCTCCCACATGTCCAAAGAGAAGGAACATCTGAATAACCAAAGGTGGAAACAAGCTGCTATCACTTGTACAAGGCTTTAGAATGGCTCTCATAAGCCACCAGGAAGAGCTGCTCAGCGTGATCCCCTGCAGAACACTAACACAGCAGGCACCCTCCCCACCCCCATCTGCAGAAACACAGAGGCACTGAACAACATATCCATGACATCAGAGGGAGTAAGTCTGTGTTCTTCAACAAGATTTGCACCTAATTCTATAAAGAATAATTAAAACAATTCCATGAAACTAATGAGAAGAGTTAAAATATCCGTTCATTTTAATTTTATTTTCAAAGAGCTTCAGTCACAAAAATGATTTACAGGTTTATTTACAATTCTATTGTACAGTTATTTATGTATGCCTTTTGACAACAGGGTACCATTCTAGAGCAGCAATACATATTTTAAATACAAAGATGTAGTATCATTTCAGATTTAAAAATAAAAGGAAGCTGAGCTTCTAGAGAGTGCTGTAATGATGAACATTTTAATCTGTGTTAGGCTTGAGGAATTAATGACAAACTGAGTAGTTTCTGGTTCACATAATTATTAAACAAGCTGCAGTTTGTTGAAAATAGTTTTAAAAACCTGAAGCTTTGCTGTATATAAAATCAACATATTCAAGACTCTAAAAATTGTCAAAAACCCACAGCTTTCCCTTAGACATACAAAACCCTAAGTTTACAGTTCAGAATTTCATGGGAGAAATCCTAGGACTTGAGCTCTCTCATTTTGTGATGACCAACATAAGCATTAAAAATTTGCAGCATAAAAAGGACTCCACATCTGCTTAGTATTATACTGCATATACACATATACAGTACAGGATTATTTACCCAATTTGGGATGACTGTTCAGCACAACCTTCATGAAGAAAGAAGAAAATAAATAGAATTAAAAATCCAACAACTGTTTAAAAAGTGCAAGAGTAAGAGTTTCCAATTTAAAGTTATGATGAATACGGACAGTCAGTTCTGTGGGTTTTTTCAGCCGCTTCTATTCAAGCATAATTTGCAGCATTTTCTTTTTACAGTAGATTTAGCTCTATAGTACATGAAACTAGAGTTACTGCTAATTGAATCTGAAGGGAAAGGAAGGAAAAAAAATCTTTAAAAATAACCCTGAGGGATATACAATTTCATGATCTTGTAATTTACTTCTAAAAAGTAATATTTATTATTTAGCAACTGCTTTTCTGGATAGACCAGTCCTTTAAGTATGTGCATAAATAATATTTAAAAATCAGTAATATTTACAAATCCTAATACATCAAAATAAAATACGTACAGATTGAAGTCTGCATACACAAATAATTTAAGAATAAATCAAACTCCTCAACATAAGGCCAAAATATACAGCAGGAAGAAAATGTCTACCCAGTATCTAGTGGAGCTCACTAACTTGGTCTGTTCACCTGAATTTAGATTTCCAAGATGAACACTGAAAGAGATTTTTCACTACAAAATTAATTTCATCTTACTTCAAAACAGAAACTGAATGCGTTAGTCCAGATCTAGTTTGCTGCATTTCTGAAAACCAGAAAAACTAAACTGCTCAAAATGAGAAAAATGATAGGTGGTCAAATTCAGCTCTTGGGCAGGAAGGCATAAATCCCAATAATTGCAGAAAATGCAAAAGCTTATTTTGTGGCTGAACTTGCAATAACAAGACAGATTCTCAGAAAAGCTGATTTATTATTCTCAACTAAGCGTCAGAGCTCAAGCATGCAACCCAGGATCATTTACCAACCCTGAACTCAGACCTGGAGGAAACAAGCTCCCATTTGCAAAACACTCAAGTTTACTGTGCTCATGAGCCATTAGTCACTCAGTTAAGTGGAGACACTTGACAATTTCTGTTTTAGGAAGAGTTCCCTAAAATGTTCTCCAAAGACAAGCCCACCTTAATGAGCTGTTTTCCTCCTCACTTTATAGGTAAGTCTAATAAACTAGAATAAGACTGAAAAACTAGCTTCAGAAACCAAATAAGCCAAGAAAAATTATCAGTATCTAGGAAAGTATTAAGCAAAAGCATATAAAAGGGACAGACAAATATTTCCTTTCAGTTCTCATGAAACAGCAAATCTAAAATGGTCAGTGAAATGGAAAGAAGAAGCTTATGCGCTTAAGGATAAGTCACAGCTCCCAGGTCCAAGATGCATAGCTTCACAATATTTTTCAACTAAAATATTATTTTTGTTTAGATTTGAATACTACTTACGCAGCTAAGAATTATTCTTCATCAGTTATTCCATCCTACAAAGATTTTGTAAAATCAACATTGGCAGAAATTAGCCAACTGACTCAGGTTCACGACTAATTAATGTACCCAATGTCTGCAGACCCTTTAAAAGCCACCACTGTTGTTCAATATTTATGACCTTATGAAGCCAGGATAATAAGAACCTTGCTCTGTTGAATGAATGCTAAGAAAACCACTTCCCCCTTTCCCCCTGCTCCACTCCTCAAAAACAAACAACAACAAGAGAAATCAGGAAAAGAGTTGACAGCTGGACTGGAAGATAGTACACCCATATGCATACTATTTAGGAGGAGCAATAACTTCAACAACCAAGTTCTAGGAAAAGGTCTTCCAAACCATTTAGCACCACTTTTAAATTCCCTGTTGGCACAGTATATTCAACACTGCAGAAACCACAACATGATTGACATTAACATGGTTAATGGTTGATGATTTTGAAGGTCTTTTCCAACCTTAATGATTCTATGAGCAGCAGGGCACACTGTCCATCCTGTTTTATGGAACAGCACAAGGGAATTGGGCCTGATCTGAAAAACTGTGCTTATTAAAACAAGGCTGGAATGGAATTGTCTCCACAGGAATTTAAAAGAACAAAACAAGACAACCCAGAAAAAAAAAAAAAAAAAAAAAAAAAAAAAAAAAAAAAAAAAAAAAAAAAAAAAAAAAAAAAAAAAAGACAAAGGAAAAAAAGAAAGAAAAAAAATCCCTAACATCAAAACCTCAAAATCCATCATCAGAATGTACACACTTCAAAACAATCCCAGCCAGCCAGTGAGTCTGGGGCCCTCATTCCACAACTACTCTAAAGGACCCCACTTCCTTCTCTAAAGGATCTCTACAGAATCATGACTTCTTCAGACCCCAGATCTCCTAAAGCTTGGAGGTGTCTGGACCAGTTAGTTGCCCTTGTTAAAAAATAGACTGATCAAGACTCAATATTTATCTTCTTCCCAAAGATACTAAGGAAGACTTTTCCAAACCTTTACAAAGTTTACAATGGTTTCAAGATAAGTAATTTATAGTTAAAAAAAAAAAACAACAAACCCAACAAAAAAGTTTTAAGCCTTGCAAGTCAAAGTGCTGTCTGCTTCTACTTCTTTGTAGACCTATTTTTCTAGTGGTCTTGTGTTCTGATACTGCCTCATGGCAAAATGATGTATGGCTACCCCTAGTGCTTAAGCAGCATTAGTGGTGATACAAGCTTTTATTTTTAATTTTTTTAAAATAAATAAAATCTGCATAAGCCTTATAGTTCTGCAGCAAGACAGACTTTAGCTCAATTTTCTCTTAATTTTGTTTCATACAGCTACATGTAGCACCTAAGACACTGGCAGACTCTTTGAAATGCCTGTGCTCTTAATGTGCACAAATCCCACATGTGGGCATGTGACAATACCTCCCCTCCCACTCCCACATCCCTTGCAGCAGTAACTCTGGCCTTACTACTTGAAGGTATATAGGAAAATTATCTTTAGATTTACAAATAAAACATGGTCCACAAAGGGATAATCCAACCCTTCTGCTGGAAAAAGCAAGGTCTGTGGAGAAATGCATAGCTAAATGCAATAAAACATGACATAGAAGAAAGTGTTTAGATTCTCCATCCTTCTTTCACCAAAAACTTTAGAGTGTAGCCAAATGGCTCCTCCCCTGGAGGCCACCTAAGCCTTCCCTGTGGTTAGCTAGAAGAGAAGTCAAGAATCCACATGAAAGCAATGTGCTTATTTCTTAAGGACAGAGCATATTGCTTCTACAGCATTCCCAATTCCTGCTGTGGCAGACTAAAGAATTGAACTTAGAACTCAAACATTACACCTGGAAACACTCCTTACTAATAGAGACAAACTTAGAGGTACACACACACAAACTTTAGAACCGTTCTGAGGCACAAAACTTTTCATCAGTCAAATAAAAACCAACTAAACAAACAAAATTACCCCAACCAATCAAAAAGACAAACACAAAAAAACCCCAAACCATGACAAGGTTATTATGCACCTCTAGTACAGCCATGAAACCATCACATCATAGGGTTTACATGAACACATGCCCAGATAAGCAGGTTAGAACAACTATTAAGATATTCCAGGCATATAATGTGAACCTATTTTAACTGCCCTGCAGTTTAAACCTTCAAATGCATCTCATTTAGGAACAATGAAATCTGAAAGAAGGTGGAAGGAAACACAATTTTTGTTCTGCCTAAGGTAACTTACATTTTTAAAATGTATAGCCATTAAGATGCCTGGCTCTGAATTTTGTATTCAGAGAGACAAAACAGTTGGAAATATCTGCATTAGAATTTGACATTTAGCACACTGCAGTTTCAAATAAAGCCTTAAAATTACATTCTTCTGAATACTACTAAAGAGACATGCCACCAAGATCCACTGCTACGTTACAGAGATGATTTGATATGAACCATTTTCTTGGGATGGTACTTTTGCTTCTGTTGTTGTCCTGGGTTTTGGTGGCCATTCTGGATCTACCAGCAGTTCCTGAGCTAGGTGCATATACTTGGCTTTTGGTGTCTTCTCTCTACAACCAAACAGGGAAGAAAGGAAACAGACTCCACAGCGGTCCCCAGCCTCCTGCACAAGTGAACAGATTTGAAAACTGGATTACCATAACAAAAAAGTCAGTAACAATACAGTAAAAAAAATCTATTATTTCAGTCTTCAATTTACTAGTTCATTATCACATTGGATTGAACCTGTGGTACAGAAACTCTTCTCCTGGGCCATCTCTCCTATACTATGGTAGCAATGACATCCAAAAAACATTATGAAAAAACCAAATATTTCACACTGTTGTAACATTTAAGACCACCAACAGTTTTAATTCCTATTTTATAGTCATTTCAGTAATCACAGATAGAACAGAAAACAATAAATTATTATACTGTTAGAGAATAAAAGTCTGGTCTAGAAAAAGCAAATTCCTAAATTCCCAAAACACTTTTAAAGTCATGAATTGTTAAACTGAAGGCAGCCAGTCAGACAAAAGTAACAGAATTAACTTCTTGGCTTGTGAAATCTATATAGTGCAGGTATTAATAGCTATTAAAAAAGACAAACTACTAAACTTAAGACTTCCTCCCCATGCTTCCTCTCTCAGTCTTAAATGCATGTAATTTAATTAGCTGGGGAGGAGAAACACCATTCCTTATTCTTGAGACTGAATCCCTCTCATGTCTCAGAGAGCACCTGTAGTCTGCAGGGCTGGCATTTTAATGGCAATATATTCCGTAGTTTTCATCATGCTCTAAATGTCTATCAATTGGTGAACTGAAGCAAATGTGAGCCTTGAGCACAGTTTCCATTCTTCAGTGACCACAAAACAATTTGTTCTACAACAGCCTCAAAAGGACAAATGTAAATCTGAAGTGAATATATTTAATAAAATTTAGTGCTGAGAAACAAACCACTATAATTGTAGCAAGCAAGAATGTACAATCAGCCAAAAGTAATAAGCGAACAGGCTTAAAGTAAAGCTGTTTTTTATGTGAGTCACGTAGATTCCCTTCATGCATTAACAGCAGAGGGGCAGACCACACCAAAATTCATGGTCACCTAAAAAACCTTTTAGAAGTAATAGAGTATTTTCATTTGCCATCTTGTTTTGTTTCATTTGTACATGCTGAACATTACTACTCTCAGACAAGGACCTAGAACTCTAAACCAAATTAATTTATTTTAATTGCTTCTAAGTAAATCAAGATGTTCCCAGTCCTAGCATAATAACTTGTGGCATCACAAATAAAATTTACTAATATGGAAACTAAAGATGAAGTGAGAAAAGTCTTAAAGCAATACTCTAGGTTTGCTTCACAGTTCTTGCACACACACTAAATTCTTTAATGTCAATACAGAAAAAAATATAAACCCAGAAGCCTTTACTTTTAATATTCCAATTACAGAAATCTAATTTAAGCAGACTTAAGCTAAAGATAAAGCAACAGACACTTATAGATAAGAGAGAAAACCAAATTAATCCACATGCACTCAAATTATGACAGCAAAATACTCGTCTCCAACCTGAGGCGGCTGGGGTATGGTGAGGCGAGAGTCTCCTTGTTTGTCTCGATTGAACACAACCTTCCAAAGGATCATATCAAGGAGGACATTCTGTGAGACATTACAGTGAGTGGGAAGAGTTAAAGAAACTAATGATCATTTGTTGTTAGTGTGCACATTACAAATAAAATCTGAAACAGTGTGTTAGCCAGAACTAATCCAGTGGCAAGCAACACGGAGAGTTTATGCTACTTGTCGATACTTTTGCGATAAACATTTTCATTTCTAATGTGCTCACACAAAATTTAGGGATATGAACATGTACTCTAAAATTAACAGCAAACAATGACTAAAACCGCATCCATTGATATGGGTAAAAACATAAATATACATGAGTTTCAATATTCTAAAAACCCATGCAGCACCACATGAAGACATGAGTGCTTAGAGCAGCTTCCCCATAAACCATCTTGGAGCTATGCTTTTTATATAGTCTTTTTTAAATCTGGGACATTCTCAGAAAAGTAGCAGTGGGGTGGCAAAGCTGAGCCACCAGCAAGAATGAAGAAATGTAGTACGTATAATTCCAGGTTTTTAAAAGAGGGCAGAACTTGAACAGTATGTTGAGCACATCTGGTTATTCTCATACAAATGCATGGGCAGACTCAGGAGCTTTGAGCAAATCTGACAACACAGGTGTGAACCTATACCTTCCATGACTTTGAGTCTACAGCTCTGGTCCTTGGACAGATTCCATTTCTAACATCTGACTAACTGCTGCCATTGAAAATGGGGAGCTGATTAGTCAGACTTTTGTAACGCTTATGATTTTATAAAATAACGGAATTTGATAGTGCTTTTATAAAGCATCGGCCAACAAATCTTCAGCTTGTTAGATGTTTGTTTTTGAAGCCATTCTGGTTTAAGCATGTCTATACCAGGCATCAGGGGTGAGGAGGAACAGCTGCTAGGATCTGCCTTTGTTGTGCAGTATTTTCTATCATATGGTAGAAAGAACTTAGTCTGGCACCCACATGGAAAGAGCAAAAGCTTTTCAGGGCATTTCAGAAAACAGAAAACAACCACAGTCAGAAACTACTCCTGTTGTAGAAGCAATGACAAAACTACATATGATCATAACGTGACACAAAAGTGTCACACTGGCAAGTGTGAGTAAGGAAGATCCAATTCCTCACGTATCTTGTAATTATGAGACACTTAAAGTGGCAGTTCCTGAGGGATAGCTCTCAGCAGAACAAACTCTAGGTGAAATACAGGGTACCTTGTTAAAAGATGGAAGGAGCTGCCACCAGTGGCCTCTCACAAATATTCAGAATGTGACCTGTGGCACAGGTCTGTAGTGGAAGGAGCAGAAAATCCAGCCAGGCACATAAGGATAGAAAGACAATGAGCTATACTTGAAGTGAAGGAAAGAAATACCCTGGGATTTCTACACACTGCACCCAAGGAGCTGGCACCACATGCCAAAGCTTGACAGTGTAGAGTAACACAGCTGGAATTGAGCAAATGCAGTTCAAGAGGTGGGCTCAAGGTATGGAAGGTGAAGTGTGTACTGTAAAACAAGGTTTGGGATTTGAGGATGGCTACACAACAGTTCTGTTGGGACACCTGCTTGTCTGCCATAACAAAGCATTCAACTTGCACTTACAAACTGGGAGAAACTTGGTTTAAGACAACGCATAACGGCCTACAGAATTAGTGCAAAGAAGTAGATACTTCTATTTTATTACCAAAGTACAGGCAACAAGACAAATTTGGAATGCTGTTTAGAAGAAATGTGTCAAATCACCCCCGCAGTTTTGGCAATGGAAGTTAAATGACTGAAGTGTACAAACAAGATGCTAACTCAAATCTCCACAGGAAAGAGTGGGGTGAGGTTTGAAACATTGGGTGAAAGAACACAGTCTGCAGGTAATTATATTAATTAGGTGATGTTTAGTAGAAATTCACAAGTTTTCAGGCTGATGTGACAACCAACAAAGCCCAGAAGTGGAACTTAATGAACAGGTATTTAAACCAGAGGAGAATCATTTGTCCCAGAGCCACATGCTGATACATGGTATGGCAACCTGTACAGATTCCTACTGGAGCCCTTACACATCCAGAACAGAAACAACACCGGATTCTATAAAAGTTAAAGATCACCTGCAGAACAAAGGAATTTTCAAGCAGATGGTAAATTTATTTTTCTCAGTAACCTTTATCAATGGACTGAAAATTGAAATTAAAGAAAATATTTCTGTCTAGGCTTGTTTTAATCTTATCAGAAGACAAAAAAAGCTGTAATTCTGAAGCTTCAGAAGAACTGTTTTGTTTCAGTGGTAAAGATGGCAAAATACATAAAATTTGACTTTTCAGAAATAAAAAAATGTCAAAAAACCCTAAACTATTAAGCATTCACTAATGAAAAAAAAAAAAAAAAAAAAAAAAAAAAAAAAAAAAAAAAAAAAAAAAAAAAAAAAAAAAAAAAAAAACCACACCACAAAACCGGAAGAATTCAAGGCCATAAAGGAAAAACATCACAGGAAGAGCAAGAGGACAACATAAGAAAGGCACAGGAGCTTAAATAGTGGATAAACTTGTTGACAACAACGACAAGAGGCCAAGAAAATTAGTATCTACTGACACATTTTGGGAAAAACAAGTTGTTGCCTACTACATGAAAACATAAAAACATGTTCCAATAGGCAGCAACATAAGACCGTATTTTATAAATTCTATTTGGAACAACATTTTAAGCAAAACCTTGATAATTTTGATTCAAATATCTGAAAAAACAACCTTTGTTTGAGTTAATTTTTCTAGATCACAAATAAAGGGAAAAAATATGTCAATTGGACAGAATATTAATGCTGCAGTTCTCTTTGAAGACCAAAATTATATGATCCAAGCAAGTATTATGCTGGTTACATTGACTGCAATCCCTCACATTGTAATGGAAATACTGATTAGAAGCTGTAGAAAATACTACACAGTAAAAACAGATAATTGTAGTGTGCACTAGATAATGTTGGAAGACCTTTTCATCTTGCAGGAAAAAAGTGACTCATGACTGCAACCAAAACCCAAACATATTCAGGTTGGAAATCACACGTCAGTTAACAAGGAGAAAAACTAACCACAGAAATAAATAACTGACTGTGAATCCAGACTTCTTCTGGAAGATTTATCTGTCCAGCTTTGATTCTCGGAAACAAAACAAAGAACCTGGATGAAAGGCAGGGCATGTTTCTGCACATATTAACTCTGGAATTACAGCAGAAGAGGTCAACATCCAGAGTGATTGACTTCAGACAAGCTCAGTGATGGAAAAAGCAGATTTGTGTGAACAGCTCTACTTCTGGACTTTGATCATATCAGACAGATCTGCATAACGCTGAACAATAAGCTATGTGTATGATCCAAATGAAGGAAGGGGGGCTCCCCCCAAGGATTTTAGATAGTTCTCTATGTTGTTATTCTGAAGCAGCACAGAAAATAAAAATGGAGTCTTTTAATATGAAATAGTTGAATTATTAAGTCTTTTCACTTCCTCCCAGCCCCCATCTTTTAATAAAAAAGATTTTGAAATTAAACTTTAGACACATAAAATCTTGACACCTTAAATCTCACTTACAAGGACATTTGTAGAAATACACACTTAACAAGAAAACAGCAGCCACTCATACTGGCATGCTGTGAAGAGTGACCTAAATAAAAGACAAACATGCACCATGCAAAAAGAAACACTTAAAAGAGAAGCATCTTCCTACCTCTGTCAGCACAGATACAACTGCATTTAGAACAACAATGATGACAATTCTTAGGCGCCACTCCTGTGGCACACACACAAGCTGTGGAAACAAGTTGCCAGAGGTTAGAAACACACGTGTGAAGTAAACACACATCCAAAACAGACTCAGCAGGATAAAGTCTCCCTTCCCCACCCAGTGATGTGAAGCTAAAGATCTACAGGGCTCCCACTTGCCCCAAAGGCAGCCCATCAGCTGCCTGAGGCTGACACGCTCACAGATCTGCTCACTCTCACCTCAAGAAATGCGTCGATAGGTTCAACAGGATGCAACATGATGAAAAATATGAAGACATAAAGAACTATAACAGATAAAACAAACAGAACTGTAAAAGAAGAAAAAAATATTTTAATTGGACCATCTCACAATCAAGAGTTTTAGACAGTTGTAATACGTATCATGAGTTCATTACTGCCTGTCTCCCCCTAAATCCCTTCCAGGAAAATGGGGGCAATATTACTTGTGCTTATAGCCATAGAGAGAAGGCCTGACTCCTCACAAGCTCACTTGTGGAGCCGAAATATACATACACATGTACGTCTACAAATTAAACAACTATTAACACAAAATTCTCCACACGGTTTAGTATTTCCTTATTTCTAGCTGTGATTATGAGAGAATAACTCCACTATGATATCCTAGCAACACTATTGCTTCTGAAGTGGCACAACAGAATTGTCAACAAGTGCACAGTCACTTAGGAGTTTTATTTGGAACTGTATCTACTAAGAAAGGACTTACAATTTTTGTAGCATGGTTGTCTAAAGGGCTTTCCTTTAGAAAAGACAATTGCCACTATGAGGTACTGAAAGCTGGATATAAAAAACAAAGTTGTGTTTTCATAATTTTTAATGTAATGTTCATCATGAATAGTCTCATTCCCATGGTGTGCAGAGCTGGTGTTCCAGGCATCCAACACATTACATGCACTACAACACAAAAAAATCAAACACTGAGTTATGGAGAAGAAGCAAATAGGGTCCACTTATTTACAAAAATAATGACAGAACAAATTGCTACAGCAGTAAAAAAGCTTAAACTTGAGAACATATTACAGGTAGCAAGAAATAACTCAAAACTGTGGCAGGGAGGTAGCAATTTTTTTGAATTCAGAGCTTCAAATTCTTTTATGCCGCCAGTTAGTAAAATTTCTACATAAACTGTTTAAAAACAGTTGTAAATCATTGTAGACAGACTTCAGAGACAGGTACGGAAATACTGCAATCTAAAAAAAAATTAAAACACTTCTTCATTTTCAAAAATATGAATTTGATTTACTGTAACTCTAACAGGAAAGCAAAACTTTATAATATAAAAGAAATAGAATAAATCTGAATAATTTCCAACTTCTACCTCAACTGTCCCAAAGCTGAAGAGTCATTAGACCAAGCCATCTGACTCTGACCCAATTTTGCTTTTCAGCCATGGGTAGCTCCCATATATTATTAGGCTTTTCACAAAAAATCAGCAGACTATTGCTAATAAGCTGCAATACAGAAGCTTTATTTTCAAAGTCTTCAAAAAAGAAGACAGCATTATTGCTATAACTTTCCAATCACTACTGTATCCTGCAGAGAGCCACTGAAACACTTACTCAGAGTCTGGTGTCCAAGGCTTGTACCAGGACTGCTGTTTGACCCAAAAGAACCCCAAGGTTTGGAAAGCAAGGCAGATGATGATCTGGGACAACACGGAACACAGAAGTGGACCTGAGATAAGACCTGATGGAGGCCTTCGTGCAACAAGCTCTGTCCAAGCAGGGTTCAGACTCACTGCAGAGAGAACAAAAAACAAATGACACATTGCATCATTACGGTTTTCAAGAGTTACCCTGTTCACATTCTGTGGGATGAATGGCTTGCTCATGACATCACTTTAAAATTCAGTCCAGAACTGCAAATGTGAAACCACTTTGAAAAGAGCACAGAGCCCTAGAACAATGCCACAGTGCCTTCTACAGGCTGGTTCCCCAGCAGCACAGCACAGCAGGGGACAGTAGCAGCCATCAGACTTAAGGAATTAGTAGTGTCTGGCCAAATTCCCTTTGTCTGGCACAAGGACTTACAGCTTGCCTCCTCACTTTTGGACTGCCATTGCTTCAATTAAGATGTTTTTATTAAATTTGAAAACTGAATTCTACTGTTAGCTAATGAATTAAATGCTAGGCTTGTATGTGAAATTGAATGTTACACTAGGCAATACTTTGAGTGTAACATTTTGTGGACAGAAGTTCAAAGTAAGAATGCAAGGAATCAAAACATTTGAGCAAGATGATATTGCAGTAACTCCTGTTTTGATTGCAAAATTGGCTTCCTGTACTGTGAAGACTTAGTTCCCCAAGATCAAGCTCACAACCTGCTTCTTGCTTGACGACATTCCACAAATTTCAGATTAATCTAATTCAGTACTCGGTGGTGGTTTGGGTTTCTGAATGCACAGATGTAATTGTCATAACATCTTCACTGTATGTCACAGTGTTTTCTTAAAACCACATGTAATTAGATATTAAAGAAAATCTGACCAAGCAAAAAGTAGTTCACAGAAGCCACAATGGTAATTCAGTTCAGTACTCACTAGTGAAGACAACCACCAAAATGATTGCCAAATCAATGAAGAGAAACTGGAAGTCTCCCAAATTGCTCAGGATCTGGAGAGAAACAACAAATGAAACATTGGTAATTTCTTCACACCACAAAAAATTTATACTGACACTTTTACAGAATTAATTATTTGAATTTCCTTCTATAAACAAGACAGTGTCGTGTCAAACTGGCCTTTTTTACCTGCTGGGGTTCTGAATACTCTACAATTCACAAAACAATTCCTGAAGTATCACAGTGTGAAACAATTTCCTTTTCAAGATGGACAAGCTATTTGTAGTTCAAATTTGTTTGTAATCAAAATTATATTATTGAATTTTACATACCAATGCAGTAACATCTTAGGCCTACAGTTCTTTAAACACCATAGCCTTACTATGTACTCATAAAGCTGTCAAAATTTCCACCTCAAAGGTCCTTTAATATTTGGCACCTTTAACTTGCTCAGAATACAAATTAAAATACAGGATTTCTATTACATGCCACTATTATAAAACCAATCATATTAACAGGAAATATTCCATTTTGCTTCCTCCCCAAATCAGTAATTCCAGTTTCTTTCAATTCTAACATAAAAGGAATGCATTGCTCTTCAAAATAAGTTAGGCTATTTCAAAATGCTGAAAGTTTTTAAATAATTGAAACCTGTATTTTTGCTTTGTATGCATGCTTATTTGGTCTTCTCACTGTAGAGACTTTTCTTTTCACAGCCACTGGTTATTGCCTTTTCTAAAAAGATATTACCATGTATTTTGTACAGTTAATATGAAAAAAAACCCCAAAATACTAGCAACACTTTCAGTCTAAACATATTTTTGAATGAATATGTTGTACTCAAAGGGACTTGCAATAATTTGTATTAAATATCTATCAACTTTCAAATCTCTGAATTGTGTTGACACTGCATAGGTATTTACAGAATACTTACAGAATACAGCAAAGTAACAGTGATGTACTGGATGATGCTGTATAATGCCATGAATTTAAACACACAGAAGGAAGTTACTAAAGCAGCACGGCCTTCCCTGTCAAAACAGATGCAATCATGTAACTACAAAGCTTTCTGTGCAAGCAGTTAAGTTCTGCCTACCAAAATGTTTGCTGCAATTAAACACACCTAATTTGAGGGACATTAGGCTACAGACATGAGAGAAACGAGTCAGAATGGTACACTACCCTCAACATCAAAGTTGTGGGCATGTCTTCTGAACTCAGCCACCACCTAACTTCAGTCCTCTTTGGACTTCATGTGGTTTTTCAACAGAGGTTTTAAAATTAAAGTCTTTTTACACAAGCATCTATGAAGCATTAGTTTACTGCATGGACGGAATAAACACACAGCCACAGAGCTGCTGACCTCAGAAATGTTTCTGATAATGCATTACTTCATTAGCTCCCCACAGACCCCTTGATTCTTCTTTGGCTGAACTTTATCCAAAATCATTACCTAAGTCCCAATTCTAGAGTCAAAAAATAGGGTCAAATGCTATTTAGAGAATTTGTCTTCTACTTTTTATAGTGCTGAGCCATTATCTGAAGATTTTTACTGCTTTCAATTACACACAGCCGTTATGGAAGCTACCAGTGACTAAGACAAAATTAAAGACTAATGTGTAGAAGCTTAGTCATGCTTTGAAAAATTAACTTTAAATGGACAAAAGATTTTACAATAAAATAGTAAATCATGGTATGGCAGGGTTTTACTCAGAGTATCTACAGTAAAGAAACAGAACCACTGAAGTGTATGCATTGTTCTGTAATTTACACCGGTTTCCTGCAGCATCAAATATATACTAAAAGGAAGCATGCAAAATAAGTTACACAGACACATTTAAATCCACAGTCAGTGGCATTACCTGATCAGCTTTGGCACACAGGAAATACTGGGTGTCCTGGAAGTAAATGGTGATGCCACAGAAGCCTCAAGTTCAGACAGAGATATACCACCATGTGCCCTCTTCAGTGCCTGCCAAATAACATTGAAATAGAAATCATTTTAGAACTTTCCTACAGCTGTACAATTTAACTGAATGGTTCTGTATGGAAAATAAAAATATACTTACCCCACAGTCATTTGCTCCATCTCCACACATGCCCACATAGTAACTATAAAAAGCAAACAGATATCAGCATTCTGTACCATTCTCCAACCATGGTCCATTTAGCTTATTTCATTAATTACTTCTATATTACTTTGAATTATTCAGGGTTTGCATAACAATGGGTGATCATTAATGCTGAAATAAATTACTGTTGCTGTTATACATATAAGGAAGTAGACAGAAAAGTAACACAACAGTAACAGGTCAATCAAAGCAATAATGGTTAATTGCTCTCTATCATCCCAATGTGGTCTAAAGAATCTTTGCTCTAGGCAATGACACTTCTGTAGTATTTTTAAAGCTGCAAGGCCTAACACCAACAGTCACATACTGACCAATGTAAACAGAAGTCATCCTGATAATACTTCTGTAATACACAGAAGACATCTGATGGGTTTGCTTTGTAAGCCAAGCAACTGCATTTATAAAACATGCTAGTCAGTTTATGCACATATTCCTTACTTAAAACTTCATGAAAAGTCTGAACCTTTCTGAACTCGCCAGCAGATGGTACTACTCTCATTCTAGTAGATTAGCTAACAGGCTGACCTACCAACAAAAGGAGTTCTCTCAGCCCAGCATTTTTCTTTAGACAAAACAGCTAGCAGCATACAGAATTTTTGTCTCCTATCCCACCAAAGACATTCAACCCTCTCACTTTCTACACTTAAGCAAATACTTACTCTACATTTTGTAAAGCTTCCACCAGCTGAGTTTTCTGATCAGGTGCCATGCGAGCAAACACAGTGCCATGTAGCACGAGCTGCAAGACAGAAGAGTTCTTAATGCTCACAGGGCAAAGTCTCTTCACCTTTGAAAGTACCCATACTCAAGTAAAATGCTCACCTTGGGTACCAGGTCCTGAAAATGCTCCAAAATCACTGCAAATGACTTCCCATTCATTGCAAAATGGTATTTTGTCATCTGGAGATCCTCAAGGCTTTCATGGACCAATTTAACTGGAATATCCTATCAAAAGTAGTTTAATGCTCTAGCTGTAATGGATTTACACAGATACCTTGCCATTTCAAGCTAATACTCAGAGGAGTAATCCTAGGGATCCTACACAAGACTACATTTATATGAAGATCACTTGAAAAAAAAAAACCTCATACAATAAAAACACATATTACTAGGAAAATGTAGTTTAATGTTTCAACTACAAGCAGATAGAGAAATTCTGACAGATTGAAATGTTGGGGAAAAAACCCTGTCAAGTAAAATGTCAAATGTCATATCACAGCTGAAAAACTACCTCCTCCAGCTGCTTTACTAGTCTTTGGGATTTGAAGATCTGAAAGTTAAGCAGAACTGACACTTAACTGAAGATTTACTATTTAATGGAATAACATAAAAAGAACAGTAAAACTAACAGCTTACATTCTAATATATATGCATAATATGGTCATATTACCTCTGAGTTTATGGCTGGTGATGAACTAGTGCATTTTGCGAGGGTATCTGCATAATGCCAGTTGATCCTGGCAGCCTGCCCATCCTTTGGAGGTAGTGCTTCAGCAATAATGACCTTATCCTGAGGTAGAATCATTCCACAGTCTCTGGCCACAGAGATAGCAGTTAACATGTTGTCCCCTGTTAAACAATTGCATTTAAGAGGGTTTCAGTCAGAAAAACATTAAGATCATACGTTGATAGTCCCTGTAAGAGAAAAGCTAACAAGCCTGTAGAGAACTATGAGGAGGACTGCCCACATACCAGTGCCAGCCTCAGAGCAAACCAAGCCTACAGACAACATTCAAAGCCTACCAGGTAAACCCCCTCCTCTAGAAATTTCAGCTATATTGGAGCTATAAAGATATCTTATTGACCAAATCTTCGTGTATATGGAAAATCAGGCAGAAAATAGGCAGCCATTTAAAATACTACTTTTTACAGTCACAGAACATGCAAACACAGAGCTGTATTGTTAGCCTAGCAAAACATTCCAAAATCACAACACCTGTGATTTAAAAAGCAAACACATATTGCAAGTTCAGTTACAAAATTAGACTAGGACTTCCACTTAGCCTCATTTGGAAGACTTCTAAGTGTTTTCATCCTCCAATTCAGTATCAAGTAGCTTATACTTGGAGCTAGGGACTAAAAACTACGAAGCGGAATTAAAACCTCTGCTGGTTTCTCCAACTTACCAAAGCAACGTGCACCCAAAAAGAAAAAGAATTGGAGTCTGAATATTTTCACAAGTTTCTAAACTCCCCTGTTGCTATAAACACAGTGTAAACCCGCCAACACTAAAATTTGACTTCATACACATAATTAAAACAAGACCAGAAGGAGATATATCTTGGAGTATCAATGTTTACATGCTAACCTGTAACCATGACAGTGCGAATGTTGGCTTTATGCAAATCTTCAAGTACAGCAGGGGTTTCTTGCTTTAACTTGTTTTGCATTATAATTAACCCCATAAAATCCATGTTGCTTTCAATAGTATCTCTATGATGAAAAAGAGACAAGGAAGAGAAGATTTTAAGATTTACAATTATTAGATGTAGCTTTAAAAGCCTGATTTTCTACTTATCAAAGTAAAGAGGAATGTGTATTTTTAACCATGAAGTAATTTGCTTTATAAAAAAAGTGATGTGAAAGATATCACAATAATTTATATTTATTTCCCTTTTTTAAACTCAAAATCAGTGTGAGAAAATATTGTTTCCTCTCAAGCACAATTTTCAGTTTCTCCCACCAGAATGCTTTCTAAAAGAAATTATAGTCTCAAATAGGTTATGGTTAGAAAACCTGCTCTGGAACTAACTGCATTCACAGGCCAAGTATTAAGATATGTTTAGAGTGCACATCTCTATTTTCCAGATTAGCTGAACCTTAACATAAATGCTACCACATTGTTACAAAGGCATGTAAGATTAACAGGCGCTAGCTAATTAGGAGGAGAAACAAATTCCCTTTGGTTTCCATTAAAAAGTTAGTGTATTTACAGGTCTTGGGTATTCCACTGCTGTTGTAGACTTTCACACCTGAAACTGGAAAACTCATTTCTCTGCTATGCCAAACGTTCACCTTGCACACAGGGCTGATACAAAAGAACACAGTCAAAGCTGGCACTTTCATAGCTGTGCTACACATTCAAGCACTGTGGGAAAGATGACACTATCCACAAAACTAGGCTCAGCTGCAAAATAATTCACAGGGGTTACTACTCTTTGAAGGAAAAAACCTTTCTACCTTTCAAACCTCTGCAATGAGAATAGACATGCTGCCTTTAGGAGACAAAGAAACTGCATCAAACATGCTTAGGAGGATTTCCACTACTTGCCATTATCCTTAATAAAAACAGATGATATAAGGATGTGCAAGTAAAGAAATCAAACGAGGTTTTCCACCACAATAATGTCAATTAGACATCATGAAAATAATATTCCAGTTAATTTACAGCTTAAAGCACATCCTCTGAATTCACTTCACTGCAGAAAAAAACTTCCTTGTCTTGTGTGTCCAGGGCACAACTAAAGGATGTAGAGAACTATGTATGCCAAGACAGAAAAAAAGCTAAAGAAGAACAGTAATTGATTTAAACAAAAATACAAATTACATATTAATTCAAAACATGCAGCTTTTAAAGTCTGTTTCTTAATAAAAAAGTGAAGTCATTCTTACCTGCTAATAGTCTGGACTTTGTGCCACGTAAGCTTAGACTCCAGTTTTCTGTGAGCAAGAGCAATAACTCGGAAACCCTGCTTAGTGTATTCTTCCAGGACATGCTCAAAGTCAACAGGAACTTTAAAAAGATCAAGTTTTCAGTTACTAAAATATTCATATTTCAGCTCAGCTATAGACGAAATAAAAACAATTTGCTCCTTTACCTGTTTCCTGCTTACACAAGCTGGCAATCACTTCTGGGGCACCTTTCATGTAAGCATCCATTCTCTTTTCCCCTAGAACCCTTGCTATTACACACATGCGCTGCAACACTGAGGAAAATGGAAACTGGCGCACGATTCCAATTTCATACCCAGTCTGTGTCATACAGGAAGGAAGAAAGGAAGGAAAAAAAGGGTTACATCCACATGCATCTTAAGAAAAATAGGTATGTGCCAAATGAAAATGTATACTTACCGACAGCTCAAACAATTCCTGAAAAAAAAAAAAGATACAGCCACTCTAAATATCAATTTAAAATATTTCTTCAGCTACAAACTATTTCAACATGAATCAGTAAACTAACCTGTACAGCATTCTTTGTATCAAGACATATTTTATTTTCAATGGATTTCATAAAAGCTGACTGTAAATACACTGCATCTGTTTAGTATCCTTTACTTTAAGTGAGACACAGTAGATTTCTTGATTTCTCAATTAGAATTTCCAAGACCTTTCACAGTCCAAACTGTTTGTTTAGCTTTTGTAAATGGCTAAGTACTATGCTGTTTGAGAATGAGGACATGATTATTAAGTATATCCCTCCAAAAAATAATGTACTAAGTTTCAAGAATGTTCAGATGTCAACTACTGCACAGAAATTACTGTTGTGCACGTACACTGAGCTCTGAACAAAAGAAAGACAGTTCTACCTACTATAAAACACAACTCATACAAATGTCCTGACTTGTTATACCCTCCCACTACCCTACTCTGTGATAATACAGATACTCACATGCTTAAAATTTCCCTTTGTGAAATATTTTTAAATACTTCAAAATATAGCTAGAAGAAACTTTTAATTTGCTAAGTACATTTTGTTATTTTTACTCAGCACTTAATATTATCTCTAAAGTACAAGAGTGGCAAGAATTTCACGCTTCACAGTGACATTAACAAATTATTGTTTTAACTGAAACTGCAAGGTGAGCACACCTAAGCATTTCATTAAACCCTAAGAATTTGGTATCATACCAATATTAAAAGGCATAAGCTCAAAAAGCATTACTGTACTTCATAACCAATCTGTAAAGGCAATAATGCTGACACTCAGTTTGCTCACCTTGGAAGGAGCATACACTGAATCACTACCTTCAACAACATGGTTTAAACATGTTTGTTATAACTTTACCATCAAAACCCTCACAGTTCTGATCCCATTTTAATTTTATCAGCCAGAAACTCAGCATACAGTAAAATGTGTTTCTTTAACTCATATCAATTGTTTTGAGTTTTTATACCATTTCTTGATCTGTTGCTTGCTTGGATTCTGGGGAAAGTTGTTTTGAAGGTCGAACCACTGTTGGCATGATTCGATTATGAAGGGCTGTTTCCTCTTCAGTTGCTTCTTCTAAAATCTGTATTAAAAAAAATCAACTAATTTATACATGCATTAACTTTGACTTGCACATAATGCAATATTCAAGGAAAAAAAGGCACTTACCCATCCTATTGCTTCAAACATCTTCAAATCAAGTGGATCCCCAGAAAGCACCCCTTCAATTTTTGTAAGGGAATGACAAGTTGCCATGCAAGCAACAAACTCTGACTTCAGCAAGCTCTCACTGCAAGCCCTCTCTTCCGGCAAAAGGAAACTGAAACAATGAAGTAATAACATACTTAGCACTATAATTATTTATTATGAGCCACTTCAAAAGGTTTGTTTAGATTAACAGAAGAAAATTGACTGCACAAGTCCCTTCACTTGTATTTTCACACATCGCAGAAAATAAATTAAGTCTCTGGGCTGGAATCTTCAGAAGCTATCACAACTTCTTCCTCCTTCAAACACTCAGTGTTCATTTCTTCCATGTCTAGCTTGATCTCTCCTACAAAACCCTCTTATCACTTAATACTTAACTTAATTAGCTAAGCTAATTCATGTTAGCAGCCCGAAAAGTCATCACTTAGGAGGAGAGGATTAAAGAAGCATGCAACAGTATCTGCAACAGTTTTGCAGTATGACCATGATGAGGTCTCAGACTCTAATAAAATTCTATTTCAGCTTTGCTGTGGAGTTGTAACTTCCACTACACCTAAACCACAGTTTAAGTGGCATTACTACAGCACATTACAGAAATGTAAACATATAGCCCTGAGTTCATCCTTACCGAGCATTTTCCACCCGCTGAATTCCCCAAAGATCCAAGCCATCCTCAGTAAGTGTGCCAGTCTGCAAAAGAGACCAACAGCACAGCATGAAGAAAAAGCCTTTGGAAACAAATTATCTTCCAGCAAAGCAAAAATTAACAGCTATTTAAGCAAATTAATATGAACAATATATTTTCTTTTGTTTTCACATACAAATCAAGACTTTGTGACAGAAAATAGATCACCCTTGCTTTTTGCTAGTAATTAAATTCCAAACCTGTTAAATAACTTTCAAAAACATTCAAAGCAGTCACGCTCCTCACTGGAGACAGGACAAATGAAACAGACCCTTAAAATCCAAAGATGACAGCACTTCATCTCAACATACAGGGCCTGGGGACAATGGAAATGGTACTAAATGGTATTAAACCATTAGTACTATCTTACATAGTTAAAACAGCAACTGAAATGTACATACAGCTGAAATAATATGGTTAGCATTACACTTATATTTGATATAAAATCTAAGGAGGAAAATAAATTTTATCTAGGAAATAGCCAAAAGGAAAGAATTCTGGCTAGCAGCATGACTGTCTTTTACTCATGTTTGGTTAACAAATAATAACAAAATACACTTCTCAGCTTTTTATTGAAATGAATGAAAGTGAGAAAAAGTCTGACTTCACGCTTGAGTTTTTCAGAAGCTTGTGTGCTAAAAAAAGTTCTTAATAAGCCTCAACACTCACATTTCCGAGGTGCAGCTAGTAAGTTGGGACTTGGGAGTCTTGAGATAAGAAAGCAGCTCAATTACAACAACTTTTTAGAGAAGATTAAATTAGAGAATTAACAGATGATAAATACCAAATACCCAGAAGCTAACATATCACAAATCATCTAACTTACATGAAAAATAATGAGTTTTCCCTTTTTGTCTATACAAACTCCCTTTTCTAAGACAATACCCCTCCAGGCAGCAAGGTTTCAAAATTCACCTAACCTTATCAAAACACACAAGATTCAGCTGGCCACAAATATTTATCCTTTGTGGGCTGATGCAGAAGATGCCAATTTTTTTCAACCTCCTTTGTGCATAAACGATGCCAGCAGTCATAGCAGCAGGGAGTGCCGGAGGCACCGTGATAGTGATAATGTCAAGAGACTCGATGATGATGGTAGGAGCTGGAACCTGCAACAGAGGTCAGAGTTAATGAACAAGAACTCACTGCTTACAGATTCACTATCCCACTGACGTGTTACCAAGAGCAAAACCCACACGTTGTTTTCCCCAGTACAGTGTGTTCTGGATTGCCCAGAAATTTAGCACAATCTTCACCCACCATCAGCAACCACAATAATCCAGTCCTAAATTATGCAAAACCCTTAACTTCAAATTTGCACTTTTCTCCCTGGAAATATATTACTTTAAAACATTAGCTGAATAATGTAAAAATCTTTGAGAGAAAAAAAAAAAACCACCCAAAAAACTTAACAGCTATCAGGTTATTCCTTGATAAGGATTTTTTTTGCCTGCAGCATGTTTTAGATGTGCTGTATCCTATTTCTTCCACTGTATATAAGTCAGATGGTAACCTAACATATAACAAAGATAAAAATCTAGTAACTGGGTCAAGAGAAACCAAGGTAAACTCAAATTTCTCTGTAAGATATTAAAATTCTGCTTCTGTGCTGAATTTTATCCTCAGTAGCCTTGTCTCATTTCACTATAAAATATAGTGAAATGATATAAAACAGAGCAAAAAAAATTTCACTTTAAAGCAAATAGTTTCTCATCATCTAAAGCGTGGTGGAAGTCATGGTCACCCCTTTTCTAAAATAAGGCAGTTCTGGACCAGAAATGAAAACATACCTCATTTAAGATGCTATTGACAATTGTGTATAGAAACCCAAAGCCTGCCACCACCACCAGAGACAGGAGAAACAAATAGGCATCTCTGTAGAGCTTAAAATCAGTTGGCTTTGGATACAGTATGGAACGAACAAGCTGTCCTTTAGCAGTACTAAAGCCTAGAAATAAAAAAAGTTATTAAAAATACAAACAACAGCAAAGCTATTAAAATATATTAAAAACCTCAATGAAACCCTTAAGCTACTAATTTCATTACAACTGTTTCACAATATCCATAGCAGATGTTTTGCAATACTGTAATTAAGGTGCTTATATATGCACATCATACTAAGGGCTTCTCTCCTATGGCAAGGACATGCAGCTGATGCAAACAAACCCCTCCTCTGCAGCAGCAGCAGCAAATCCTCACATGGTTTGGCCTGGCAGAGCTTGTTGTACTGCATTTTGTCCCTCACAGTGCAGAGCTAGTGGGTATATTTATTGTCTAATTAAGCCAATCCTTACAAAAAAGAAAATTAAGCTATTCAGAGTCCAACATGAAATACCTGAATGTCAGGTCTACTTAAGAGGTCCCTTGAGAGCCAGAACGAAAGATTCAGAATAAAGTGCAGTGCAGGGAGTCATCTTCTGAGAAGGGCATCTCCTGATGGCATTTGGACAGCTAAACAAGGAGACTGTCCTTCTAAAGGTCTTACAGTTAAACAACCAACAGATATCCCAAGGTCGTACTTGAACTTTTGCCTCGATGTTTAAAGAGGCCAACATTAATGCCTGATTTTGTTTGCCCAAAACATCTGTCATCTGCTTAGACTTCAAAGTCTATTACTACAACTTCTATGTCAATGCCAGGTCTTCTGGCATTAGTGACAGCTCCCTGACAGCTTCTCAGTCTGCAAGCCACCACAGCAAAGGCTGAGCCCTCCACCCTGACATTTGGCACAGAGGATTCTACCAAAACAGAGCAATTATGGTATCACTCTTGAAATGGATGAGCTCATCACCAGATGAAAAGCCATGAAACCTCCAGGCTTTGAATTTGCTACTGCAGAATATGAACCATGGGCCTGTTCAGAGAAGTTCACCATGTCTGTATGTATTTGAGTATTTAGCAATGAATGCTTGGTAATTCAACACAGAATTACACAGAATTCAAAAAGCCAGAACTACTTTCTACTTTTCCCTATGTTTTGCAGAAGGTTCTGTAGCTACACAGGATAGAGGACATCAGGGTAAAGCAATAAATGAAAACCTCATGGGGTGTCTTTAGAACACACTGGATATACAGATAACTTTAGTGCACAATTGTGTTTTCTAAAGCAAAATAACCAGTTTTGAATTCTTTTCAATTACAAATAGGAGCCACAATGACATCCATCAACTGAGTTTTAGGAGGAAAGAAATCAATACAATTTATCTGTATTTCAGCTGTAATATCAAATATGTTAAAGGCTTAACTTGAAGAGTACTGTGAGTATAGCTCCAGCAGATCAGTCTTATATCCTGATTTATGACAAGATTAGGACTACATGTCTTTGCACACATATTTAGTTCTGTTCTTCTAGATCTTTTGAAGACTAAATTTTTAAAGTATTTTCAAGTTTGTGGCATTTCCCTCACTTATATAAAGGGATTCTTATTTGTATCTCACTGTGTGAGAATTACTTTAGATCTTACTATCAGACATTTTAGGAGCAAGAAGCTGCAAGTGCTGTGACATCTATCCTGTTCTGTGGAGAGGGAAATTCCCTCTTGCCCAAAAACTGTTCCTGTGAACCAGAGAGGAGAACAGAGAATTTTCTATCACTTTGCTTTTCTCTATACAAAGCCACAGCAGAAAAACCACATTTGTCCATAGAAAAAAACCTGAATAAAGCCCAGTTGAATTAATCCTGCTTACAACAGGAGCTAACTTGGACCTGCCATTGGCAAAGAACATTTTACAAACACAATTTCTGATGTCAGGGCAGTAAGACTCAGAGTGTTGGGAACAATGGTGATGTTCCTTGAAAGAATTACAGACCATAGTATCATACACTTCAAAACAAAAAGTACTATTCTTCCTGCAAAGCAGAAGCAACATGCCTTCAGCAGTTAATTTCTGTTGCTGTTTGGGCTCACCTTACTCTACATGCACACTGGCTGGCACTTGAAATTCATTTAAGAAACAATACAAGTTCAGATGCGTATTATTAAAGGGCTGATGTGTTAAAGGAAAGGAAAATATATATTTGAAAAAAAAGACTAATAAAAGCCTCAAGATAGAGAATAAAACAAAATCAGAACTGTTACTGCTAAAGCAGACTAACAGAAGGTGAAAAGAATACATCAGAGTAAGAAGCAGCTAATTAGGATGAAGTTATTTGTTGGAAAACTTGCTTTAAGCAGCAGTCTAGTCAATGCAGTCCAATTGCTTCTACCTAATTCTATTGTACCTTGGATTATAGCTTGCATTCATTTATTTTGTGGCAATTTTCTTAAAATGATCTTTGTAAAGCAAAATCCCACAATTGTACTTGCTTGTGTAATTGGTTTCACAGACTATTATTTAATGCCAGATCTCTAACATATGAATTAGCATTTCTGTAGATAGATGAAACTTATTTTTTCAGTAAATGTTATGTACTTTGAAATAACTATAGGTAAAGAAAAACATTTGGCATTGTGAGTGACTCTGCTAAAAGCAGCTGTTCCTCACTACCCACCCAATCTGCTGTTCTCCACTATCCACCTGAACCTTTTCCAAGAGGCACACGCAGTTCAAGCAAGACACTACCAAAAAACCTCTAAAGGACAAGAAAACACATTCAAATAAGTTTTAAATTGATGCTGAAGGCTGATTCACTTTTGTGCTTGCCAACTGTTAATCTTCAGATCATCATCTAGTTTTATTACTGTTTTAAGATTTTAATCAAGCTATTTGGGGTATATTCCTTTACCCAAGCTTAGCAGCATCAGCCAGCTGACACATACCTACAAATAGGAGTAGTACATTAACAAGGATAAATTTAACAATCAATACCTGTTCTCACTACCAGAGCTTTGACCAACTCTCCAGTGTAGAACCGGGTCTGAATGACATTGGTTCCACAGAACAGCGTGTGCCGCTTGTGCACCTCGGGACTGTAGATCTCATCTCCCACAGCTTTTGGATACTCCGAAGGATTTGGCAGATTAATCTTTGTGACAGGAACACTTTCACCTTAAAGGAAAGGAAGTCTCTAAGCAAGATCACAGAAGAACGGACTCTTTTCATTCCCAACTACAAGAAATATAATATAATCTCATTTCACCAGCACAGACAGACTTATGGAAGTTATCTTCCTTTCAGCATGTAATTAGGTGGTCTCTCACCTGCTAGCCTCAGCCCAGCAGATTCTTTACCCAAATGCTATTTAACTCTATTCCTTATAGAGCTTTTATGTCCCTTACTTCAAATCACAGTTTGTGATATAAAACACAGTTCATTAAAAAAAACAAAAAAACAGGACAAGCTTCCTTCTCTTGCTGAAAAGCATCACCCCCATCTTTACTCAAAAAAACTAGAAGCTGAAGAAAATTATTCTCAGCTCCTTTGGTGACCGGGTGCACTCAAGATAGGGTTACAATCAATTTTTATCAGTTGCTAGCAGCAACAAAATCAAGTTTTGTTTCAATTGAGAAAAACTGAACATGATAGAATACAGAATCTCTGAACTAAAATTTTCTAGAGGTTGTCAATTTGATCAATTATCCTAGGAATAACAAAAAGTCCATCCTAGTCATTGAAGCTGTCCTTTAAATACATTAGGTCCCTGATTTTAGCGTATGCAGGCATAACTTGAGATAATAATTTGTGGTTTTAAATAAAGTATGACATTCTACTCACTACCTTCATTTTTGGAAGAAGCTAAAAAGTTTTAGCAAAAATTTTCTGAAGAAGCAGGCTTCAGAGCTCCATCTGCACTGAGAACACCAAGTTAAGAGGCAGGAAGACAAACTATCAAGAAGAAAGTTTTTAACAAGAAACACTCATTTTTGGAGTTTCTAAGCAGTATTAGGTAGCTGTTGCAGATAAGCAGGACAAGTACCTAAGTACTTTAGAACATGTCTAACTGTAAGAACATACACATTTCAAACAAAGTAAACATATCCAGTTCTGCTAAAGCATACTGCAAGTGAGCATGCACACAGGTATAAACTAATAGTTTTAGCCATGCAGCACTGTGTATCAAATTTAGTTTACCTGTTAGCATACTTTCATTTACAATGCAAGTACCACTGAGCAGTACTGCATCACACGGCATAATTGTCCCATTGGATGGAATCAACATGGTATCTCCAGGCACGAGGTCAGTGGAAAGGATTTCTTCTATTTCTGTATATTAGAACACAAACAAGTTTACTTGAAAATAGCCATCATCTATAAAACCTGATAAAGAGCCTCACATTCAAGATCTAGGTGAAATACGACTACTAATAAAATGAAGTATAACTTCATTAAATTAATGACATGAAGAGATTTTAAAAATATACAGAAAAAGCCATTGATAAACTCCAATTCCACCACAGATTAAACTCCAGAGCACATGGATAGAATACATCATGACCAATGAAAAGAATCAAGTTTGTACAAAAGATATTACAAATTATTAGCTACAGTGTAACTTCAGTATAAAGACAAGAGCACAACACAAATGTATGTCTTAAAAACAATATTATGCATCACAACCTTTGGGATACCACACCTTTAACTGCTGTGGTATTCAAATGAGGGGAAATTCAGAAATCACCTCGCAGCCCTTGATGGGTAACAAATTGTAATGGAGACCCAACACAGGCACATCTTTAAGTCAGGAAAAAAATTAGAATGGCAATTACATAAGTGAAACGGCAATAGGACAAGTACCTAATCTAGAACAAACCTGATACTCACTGAAAATACCATCTAGAAGGTTCTGAAAATACCATCTAGAAGGTTAACCCTGAACACATTACACTATCTAAATTCCACTTTGAACTCCTTTTCTCATGCAATTTTGCTAAGGAATGCAAGCATTTCAAGCTGATTAAAAAAATAACAGATGCAGACCCACTTTACATTCACACTTCATGAGCAATTTAAATTCAACTTTTCAGGCCAACTGTGAAATTTACCTTGATTTCCTCTGCAGACAGAAACCCTTACAATGCTGTGAGCTGCTACCATGTCATGTAACATAACATATTGCTGCAAAGGGGAGAAAAATTGATTATTCAAAAGCACAGCTTGTCTTCTTCTAAATGCACATTCTACAGTAGAAGTGATGAGATTCTCTACTAACATTCTTTAACAACAAAATGCTACTCAAAATATTCTCTTGAATATAGTTTAGAAAACTTATGGGCAAGTAAAGTTTGAGTGCATCAACCTGTACAGGCTCTTATTTTAATAGCATTTTGGAAGCAAATATATACTGTCAAACAAAATATTAAAAAATAATTTGGCATTAACATACAAAAGTAAAAGCTGCAGTAGTTGTAAGAACTTGAATTAAGGTTGAAGTTTTTTTTTTGTTTGTTTGTTTGGTTTTTTTTTTGTCTCTGGTATGAATTCAGAGATTGCAATTTAAAGATAATTACTACTTTGATTTCCATCAGCTAAGTCTACAGAGCAAACTGAATCACCAGTTTAACAATCTATATGCTTCACTGCTGCTCAGTTTTGTAGGGCTTTTTCAAACAAGGAAACAATGCAAGATGGAATCACTACAGTCAATAAAACTTGGTACACAAACTTTTGTCTGGGTTTTATTTAAGCAAGGTAGTGTTTCTGCTATCTGAGGCCAACCTATTGATTCATTAGTGTGGAAAGTCTGCAAAGGTCTCAAAAAAAACTATAAATCCAAAATTTTTCAGCTCAAAGAGGGAAAATGCATAACAATATTCTATCTGTATAATTTGAAAAGTTCTTAAAGATTTGTAGACAATTTCACAACAAAATAAGGCAATCAGTAAAAAGCCAAAAAGATGCATCAATTTTCTTTGAACTTACCTTTCTAATGGTGTAGAGTGAGCTAACAATGGATATTACAGACATAATCACAATTGCTAATGCATAGTAGTGATACTCATCAGTGATCCACAATATCACACTGAACAACTGGAAAATGTAAAAAGGGTTGAGAACCTAGAAGAGTGACAGAACATTCAAGTTACACCAAAAGGTCACATGAGTTCTCCATTAGAACAAAGCTGAAATTATCCTCCTCCAGGGAGAAGACAATTTCAGTTCTTTATACATAATTCTTGTTTGATTTGCCAAAATTTTTTCACTACCTCCTCAGCCCCTCAAAAGCACAGTTCTCACTCAAATAATACACAGACTTTCAAGACTCCTTGCATTTTCCCCTACACCTCAAAATAAAGTAATGGGAATATTTGATGTACCTTAAGTTATAATTCTTAAACCAATTTGGGTGTTATTTTCTATTTGTTCTTACTCCTTTAGATCAGGTTGGAGAGTTTCTTTGTTCAGAAGTTCTACTGTGCATTATTACAGCACAAGATAACAAACCAGTTATTCAAATCCACCTGATACAAGGCAAACAGAACAAATCCAACAACACGACATTTTATTTGCTGCATATATTGTAATATATAATCCCTGGCCTCCTCATGAAGAACACAAGTAATTTTATGTTTGAAATTAAATACAAAAAATAAGTAAGATGCTGACCCATTCAAAGAATTCTGATGTATTTTCTAATGTCCTCCCTAAGGACTCTGAAGGGTTTATAGTTGAGGCCTCTTTGATCTTTAGCTCTAAGGAGACCTGGAGAGCTTAAAAAAATTGTCCATATGATTTTGTTTTCCAATGTGGGGCTCTAGGGAAAGTTTCCAACCAGTAGTCATTGCACTTGAAACAACTTTCAATTATATACCTCTTTACTTTAATTTGTTGAAGAAAAGATTTTACCTCCTTAACCAGAAGCTTAAAAATGGAAGGCACTTTCACAGCAATTTCATTTACTCCATAGAATGCTTTTCTGCATTAAAAAAAAATAAATAAAAAAAAAGTTAAGTTTTTTTAGGAGTCTTATTGACATCAAAGTAATTTCACTAATCTGCTAAAGTATAACATGTCCCTAAATCTGTGACTCCCTATTTATCACAGTTTCAGAAAGTGCTTTTCAGAAAATGCTTACCTAGTGAGATGTTCCAATACAAAAATAATTATTTTATACTTCAATTTAAGTTGTACCTTATTTTATAGATTCTTTCATAACAAGATTTCTCTGTAAACTGTGTATGGGTTCCATGTTATTAAATATGTCATTCTGAAAGCCAGTACGTGATTCTCATTAGCTTAAGCTTAAACCAGTGTTAATGCTTACCCTGCAGTAAGACAATGTTTTCAAGTTCCTGTATCTTAGTTTTATCCTCAGCATGAAGAAAGGCAAATCATGAAAGAGGGAGCAAGAAACCAAGCTCTGATGGGATCAGAGCTGGTTAAATGACTGAGACATGAAAAAGCCCTTAAAATTATCTGAGGGGAAAGGCTTTTATTTCAGAAAAAGATACAAACTGCCAGAAGATGAATTGATAAGCAAGCAGATGCTCCCATATTTTAGCCTGTATGAAGGTCTCATTTTCAAAAAAAATCAGACACTGATCACTCAATTGTCTTCTGGGTTTTTTAACACTCTGAGCACAGGTAATGAAACATCAACAATTCTTCCCTCAAACACTACTGCAATATTACCTGTAATCATGCATTCCCTTTGTCAGTCCTGTGCTGTGTTCATTATGAATTGCAGAGCAGAAGGTAGATTCATCTAGACCTCTAAATAAAGGAAAAGTCAATGAGTTATTTAAGAAATCTGATATTTAAAATTAAGTCTTCAGTGACTCAAAAGAGCTAGGTCTTTGTCAAGAGGTATACACCATTTTATAAAACAAAATCTATGGCCTAATGTGTTCTTAGCTGGTTTTGTCACAGCTTCAGATACCAGTGACACATTAAAAGCAGTCGTCTTGTTGATATATCTTACTCTGTAAGATAGTTATACCTATTCCAATCCAAATGGAGACAACTTAAAAATGAAGTAGAATACTAGGATAACTAATATTCAAAGGCTTCTAAAAAGTGAGCAAGTTTTATAAAGCATTATATGAAATCAATGTGGATTAACATTTCTTCAGATTACCTTTGTTTGACTCTAAGTAGTAATGGAAGTTTTTTAGAAAAAAATATTAATCAAATTATTAAGTAAAACCATACCACAGCTACTTTACAGCATCTTACTATCACAGTGTTATCCATTACTAGGAAAAAAGCACCCTACATTTTCAGTTCTTCCTTATCACCAGAAGATTCATTTTCACAGGACTTCTCCACATGCTGTGAAAGTTAATGCTGTGCTTTAGGAAATCTACAGATATGCAGAAACACCTAAAACATTGTTACATTTACAGCTATTGGATTGTGTTAACTATCAAACTCAGTAAATCAGATGTATGCTGCCCAATATCCAAGCATTTTTCGTGGATATACTTTGGATGCACAGGAAAATATCATCACCTTCCAAAAGTCTTTCTCAGACATCATGACAAAACCAGCATTATTCCATACTAATGTTTTTTATATCTATTAAGTTATCTGTTAAAAAGGATTCAGAGTTGTCCCAGCAGAAAAAGAGAAAAAACCCAACTCTTTATTGTGCATTTTTCATAACAATTACTTCCATTCTCTGGAACACAGGGAAAGCTTTAAATATCCTCACTACTGCAATGCCTAGGATCACATTTCCACCAACTGCTTGTACAAGAACAGACTTGGCCCTAGGTTTACAAGGTTTCTCTAAACCTGGCTCAGGGATTTAAAAAAATACTATTTTAAATTAAACAATACATAAAACTCTGTTAATAGCTGTGTCTTTCCCCCCACTCTACCATGAACAAGTTTTCTTTTAGTGTAGGAAAAGAAATGTAACAGTGGATTTAAAGAGGGTGCCTAAATTTAGGTGCTCTATATGCAAATATGCATACCTGTGTGTGCAATGTCCATGCAAAGACAGAGCTTCTAGCACAATGTTCTCTGCTTTTTACACTACTGCTACAGACTGAATTCCCAGGGCATTAAAATCCCTGTGTGCAGAGTTTATTATATAAAGCACTCATCAACCCACTCAGATATTCGGCTGACAGTAGCTAAAACAAAACAGACATCCAAGGTCAGAGTTGCATCCTCTTTGGCTATGTGACCAAGTCTGACTTAGTCCAAGAACAATTACACTTGCATTTCCTGTGTTTAAAACAGTGATCTTAATATTATGGTAATATAAAAAGAACAATGATATGAAACTCAAACTCTCATGACTGAATTTGTCACCCAAGAAATCTTAATTTGCCCCCCATTTGTGTTGTGCTAAGCCTTCCATGATGTGATCAAACTGCTCTGTCTCTGAGTACTTGGTAAGCAGCAGCCCAAAAGCGAATGCTCTCCACGATGCAGTGCTGTGCTTAGATCACAACTACAAGCATGCTGACTGCTTTAATGGTTTTACTATAAATAATTCTGTCTCACAGACTGTCTCTTTGAAAATATTAACTTGAATATCTACCATGTTATTAGGTAATATCAATTTTTGGTTTATACATATAAACTGAAGAGCAGAATAAGATGTATCGTAGAGAAGGACAAAGTTTCCAATACTTCTTTTCAGAGTAATTATCATTCACAAGCTCAGAGATTATTTTGCACATGGTATCTACTACTTCACTATACAACCATACACTTTAGAGGAAAGTTTTAACAAACTGGCCATTTTTATCTGACCTTGTGGAAAAGTGACTTAGTATCCAGTATGCCTCAGTTCCACCTCTTTCTCCTCTTTCTTATTCAATAGCTAAATAATCATGTCCAGCTCAGCTACTGTACCTGACTAAACAAGTGGCCAAGCTCAGTCGTGGCTAATACATCAAACAAATGAAAGTTTGGCTTATCAGCAAGAATGTGATTGAATAAATGCTCACATAACTTCACAGGCATATCTGAGATTTTTCCAGGGCTTATAAATTGGCTAAGTTATCACAAGAACATCAAAAGGCACAGTCAAATAGCTACAAATGCCAAGTTTCAAGTCACTGCTTTAATGCTAAGGAACAACATTTTTTTCTAAACACATGGAGTCACATGATTTTTTTCCAATACCTGTTCTTAACATACAAGTAGTTTCTTAATCTCATCTGTGGGAACTATTCCCTTTGAACAGTTTAAATTAGGAGCACTATAGGCATGAAAACAGGAGTCTACAATGCAAAATGACGAGTGTCACTACCTGCACAACTGTATTTCATGGGAGGCTTAACACAAAAAATGCATACAAAGCTTTTAATTACTTACTCCTGAGAACTGAGACATTTCCACCCTCCCAGATGAGGACTGCTCCGTTTTGTAGTTGCTTGTATTATAGTAATTTCCTAAAGTTGTTTTCATTGCTGATAACTTTCCATATTATTTGCACACACTTTTTTGGGAAAAAAAAAAACATCTCCACAGGATAGTCCAATACAGTGAACACTGATTTAAGTTTAAAATAGATTTTATTTGTGGTCTGAATTTATTGTTTTAATGGGCAGTTGCCAAAAACGGAGAAGTCAGCGCTCATTTAACTTGTGGCACTATGAGAATGCCTTGTCACAGAAAGAAAAGCTTTCTTCTTCAACATCATGCAACAGTGTTGCTAGATAAAAGAAAATACAGTGCATCACAAGCTACTGCTACCCACTAAAAGACTTTTTTTATCAGTGCAATAGACCTGTTTTTTGTTACTAAACAGTAACAAAAGACAGATCAGATCCAGCTCAACTGCACTAAAACCTAGAAACAGACCTACACAAAGATGAGCAAAAACGATATTTGGTGAATTCCCCTTCTTCCTAGATACACCTTTTGGTTCTAGCTCAGCAACAAAAAAACGTAAGTTGTTCCATCATAAGCAAAGTTTTTGAGTGTTTATAGAAGTACTACTGTCTATGAACATGTGCTCTGATTCTCAAGTAACACTCCAAGAATAGGCAAAAAAGCCTGCAGAAGCATGCAGCCTGTCACCCTACACAGATCACACTTGATAAAGGCAGATTAAACAAACACCTTCCTTCCAAATTCACAGAATTAAAATCTCCTTGTCCTCACTATAGTTCAAACAAAGACTCAATGCCCTAAAGCAGCTGTCTGAAAATAACACCGATTTTCAGCATGTTCTTTGGCAACCTATTTTATTTTTGTAAAACGCAGTTTGAGGCACAACATGTAAGAAAAATGTATTCTTACCGTACAACATCAAAACTTTGAACTGAATCATTCCAAAAATACTTCACACTGTGATGCGTGAAGTAACGAATCTGTAAGGGCAACAAAACATAGACGTCAAACTGGTACCACTTAACACCTCTCTTCTGACTGACTTCATTCTGAGAGGTGACAGAAACTGAATTTAGAAAAGCTTCAGTAAAAAATGAATACTTTTCTTTCGACATTAATCTTTCAAGCTTTCCATAATTTCCAGAAACAGGTTATTGAGGAGATTTCTGTTCCACTCAAGAATGAGTTAGCCTTTCAAACAAAATAGCAGCTCCATGTGTGTTTATTCTCAATAGTACTTGTGAATTTAGCCAGCATAGTATTGCAAGTTTACTTACAGGCAAATGTTTTCTCGGATCGTTTTTATTCTCTTCTGCAGCAGATTCAGAGAAATGAACAGCATGGCCATTTGAAACCTTGTGCACAATAGGATTTGGATTCTGTAAAGGACTGGCTCCCAAGGAAGGCATAATGCGAACCTTTGCACAGAACCATATCTTGAATTCATCCTTAGAAAGAGGGGGGAAATGAGTTAGCTTAAAGAGCATTTAAACAGCATTTTACTACAACAGCTGCAGCAAAATCACAGATCATAGATTAGCAGAGCCCATATAGAATTAGAGAACATATCTCCATGTTAACATCAGCTACCTTAAGAATAATTTTCTTTCCACAATTCTAAAAGCATATTTTGCACTTGGGTCAGCAGTACACCTCACTTCCACAAATGTATCTTTGCTGAATAAGGGAGGGGAAACCATGTTTCAGCTCATAGGAACAACGTATTTGTTCTGTGGCTGTTGGTGACTACAGCATTAATGTATTTGATTCTTAAAACTCAAATTCAGACTACTCGCTATGCCCACTTCAAACAGCTGTCAGTCTTCCCACAGAGGCACAAAGTTACACACAGGAGCACCATTCTGCAGTGCTGTAAAACACAATCATGTCTACACAGCAAGGCAAGGATTGGTGTACTGCAGCAAGCAGAAGGAACTGCCAGCAGGGAGAAGCACATCCCCTGCACACTTACAGTCGTCCTCAGCAGAACCACCGCACAGTCCTTCAGCGCCGTCCTTTTGCACGTTGCTTTCACACGCCACTGGGGCATCCAGTAGAGGAGGAGGAGAAGAAAGCCACCAGAACAGATCACTCCCACAGCAACTAGCACCAACTTCCAGCGACACAGATCATAGCCATAGATCTCCTGCATGGCAGTAAAACAAGTAATGATGACTCTCTTAATTACTGTGGCTCGGGATGCCAACATTCATTTTTCATAACGTGGAGTATTTAAAGCAAATCAATTTTCAAAGCCATTTCCTCTTTTTTTTTTTTTTCTGGGGGAAGGAAACATTTGGAATACTTAATACATGATGGAGTGGAAGCAAAAAGGAACGCTGTTTTGCTTCGTCAGAAATATAAACATCAGTAAAAGTCAGAGGCAGATCATCCACACTGTGTAAAACATTCTATTGCAAGACTGTCTCCTCTCTGCAGTGCTCCCTAAGGAGAGGTTGCAACACAACCTGCCTTAACTCTAAGTGAACAACTACATTTTTGACCATGACAATGCACAAGTCAGTTGAACACTTAAAAGAGCAAAGGCATATGGTTTTGTCAAATGCTGATTTTATAACGTATCGTTTGATTAGCTAGCATTCACAGTTTTGAATTACTACTGTAGGCTGAATTTTATACATTCTAAAAAAGCCCCTAAATATATCAAACATCACTTTCTAGTAGAGAATTTTGCTTATTTTGCCTGCCATTTAACAAGAAATGCTACTTTATAAACTCCAAGCTACACTCAAAGGTTATGTAACTTGTACCAGTTAGAAAAAACATTTTCCCACGAAAAAAACCCCAAGTATTCAGTGTGCAAGCACTAAGTTAACTTGATGACAGCCAGGAACAGAAAATAACTTAGTGATTTACTGGACACTGTGCTACATTCCTGAGTTTCACATTACATCATTAGATTATATTTCCTGCTGAAAAATGAAGTTTCCCATTGAGTCCCACCCATTGTTCATACTGACATAAACTTCTTGGATTTTTTTTTTTTACTTTTCATTCAACAGTGTTAGAAATTGTTTAAACTCCTTTCCTAAGAAAAGGCTTTTCAAAAGTTTAGTTTGCCACCTTCTCTGATGACAAAAAGCAGAAATAAAGCCTATTCTCTATTACCCCCAAAACACTCTTCAGCAATAAAAATAGAAGAGTTTAAGATGGTGAGAAAACCAAATGCTTATTTTTAGGAGAAAATAAAATTATTTCCTCAAAAAAATATTAGTTTTAGTGATCAGGCCATAAGCATCTCCTGTTCTACAATGCATTTGTTTACTTTCTGTATTGGAGCTGTCTAGTGAAGAACTACTTTTCCTAGCAGTGTGGACAAGGACAAAACAAGAACTTCAGTTCACAGAAGCCTATCATTTTTGCAAACAAAAATCCCTGTATATACCAAATGGACTAGAAAAATCCCTTTGAGCCCCAAGTGGGTTAGAAATCGAAAGATTAGCTGCTAGTACTTTCCTGTCAAAGCTTACAGCCTTGAATTGCATTATGAAGCATTAACCTGTTTTAAAATACAACAAAAAATCTCCAGAATTTGGAGGGAAGAAACTCCAACTAACCAAAGAACAATAAAATAATGGTAATAATAAAAAAAACCAAAACACAGCTCACTTTGTTTCCATTTTCATGTGTAAAAGTAGAAATATTAAGCACAAAAATGTATTATCTATTGGACTACAAAAACCTTTCCTATCCCAAGACAAATTTCTTAATACCAAAAAATATTGCCAGGATAATCTCATAAAATGGCTGAATTGATTTAAACTGAGACAATGCACTTCCCGATGTAATATGCCCCCTTTAAGCAGAAAACCCTGCAAATATGTTTCTTTCATTGTATAAAAAAAGATTAACAGAATTCATTACCATCTCATCTTCCTCTGCTTTATTGACATATTTCTTTTCTTCTTTCTCCATGTTTAGAATGATATGGAACTTCTTGACTTGAGATATGGAAGACCTTCAACAAGACAAGAATTAAAAATGGAAGCAACATTACTGATTTTACACCTAAGTTTTAGGTTGTTCCAAGTTACTTTCAGTAAGTGTATATATAAAACACAACACTGACAAAGTATTAATATTTATCTTCAACTTGCACTGTTACTAGTTTCTAGAAGTAACTATCCAAGGAGGTCTACAATTAAATACTGCAGAAACATCAGGCTTTAAAAGAGGAGGAAGAAGAAGCTTGTACAGTTTAACTTGGCTACATTCTACATGCAGCAGGAAGTGTAAATTAAACCTGTTTAAAAAAAAAAAAGTAGGTTAATATTACACATTTGTATCACTCTATATGTAATGGGCCCAATCAGATGCTTTCAGAATTCAGGCTATCCTTCAAGAGGAAAGGCACAGTACCCCTGAGATCTACACTTCTTATCTGAGCAGAACAAATACTTGCTCAAAAACATTTAGTCCCCAGTTCATTATTTCTAAATCAAGACATGCTTTTTGGTTAGACTTTCCCCTTCTTACCAACTCCGCTACTATTCAATTTGCATCAAAATCTCTCACAGTTGCTGATCTTGAGAGGTGCTTTGAGGACAGATTATGATCACAACTTCCATGAATAAGAAAAGGCATGGAAAAAATACGGCACTGTCTATGAGATGAATGCAGCACACACAGATCCCTACTCCAAAAGGGGAGAGCTACAAACAAAAGCTAAATACAGTGAGGCTTATCAGAATCTTCATCACATAAGCAAGAAAAATCTGAAGTACCATGTCAAAAAGCCAAATTATTCAAATTAAAACTGTATCTAATCTTCATTTGGGCATCCCCATACATGTTAATTGTATACAGTTTATAATTAATGCACAGGAACAAACAACTACCACAATTAAAATCACTAAACAGCCAGTGCTCACCTGCCAAGACACAGATTAACTGCAATTCTCGGCACTGACATGGTACAGCCTTTAATTTTATTTACTGCATATACATAAATCTCTCAGAAGACAGCAGTTACTACCACACCTTATAACCAGTGCTCAAGTATTAAGTCACAGCACAAGCAGCTACTCTAATTGTCCTTTTTCAGGCTGTTATTAGTATTAGATAGCACATTAAGTACAATACTACCAACTTCTCTGTCATTAACTCCCCAACATTTTCACAAACCAAATCACCAGACTACAAGTCAGATCCTCTCAAAGTCAGCCCCTGGATCCATGCACTTACATTCACCAGCAATGCCAGCTTCTAAGGGTCCCTCCTCCCATCTCCTGCAGCTTATCTACAGCATCACATCCACACGTGTTTTCTGCCACCCACAATCTCCTTCCCACTTAACCCAATAAATTAAGCAGGAACCTAACAGGAAAGGTTTCTTTTGCTAACCAAAACTGGATGTCCTCAGAGATCCATTCCCACTGCTGAATAAGGTTCTAGTAGAAAAAACACACACTCAAAGGAGACAACTGCATCACAGCACAAAGCTGAGTCTCAGGTGAGAAGCTCAGTATTTTATAAACTGAGTGCTTGATACAGTTGGCATTTTGTTCTGAATGGAAGGAATATAACTTGGCAACAACTGCCTCCTTTGATTGGAACAACAGCTCACACTTTTCTCCCCTTGTTAAGCTGAAAGTTTTCTATTGCTATACTATAATTTCACTGAAGATTTATTTGGATATCAAGCCACATAAGTCATTAAAGTTCTAAACCACACTTTCATTTAAACTGCCACTTTTCCTAACTAAGGAGCTTTCTATCCTGTGAAAGACATCGATAATACACAGAATCAGTTAAAAATCTGTCCTAAATCTACACAGGACTGCTAAGAAAGCCCCCAAGGACAATCTTAGAATTAATTACCTCAAACAACTTTATGTACACCCTACAAATCACATTTTCAATCAAGAAGGCAAGCAGCCAGAAAAATGTTCCGGGTATTTACAGAATTATACTCCTAATAGAGTTCACAGGTCCAGGAAAGAATTATCAGGTTAATCATACCTGAGCTGCTCTTAAACAAGCACACACTTCCCTGCTCTGATGTACAGTAATATCAAGAAGGGTCCTGCAGGCAGCTCTCCAACCTTGATGGACTTACCAAGTAGGAACTTGAGACAGGAAAGCACCAGGCAGAAAAATAAATGCTAACAGCTTCCAGATCAATGGATCTCAACTGAGATTTCCATTTGGCCAATATGTCAGCACAGGGACCTTATGGGACACCATGGCAGTATGAGAGAGAAGTGCAATTGCCTTCATTTAGGCAATGGGAATGAATGTCAAGTTGTGGGACTGAAGAAGTATGAAAGAAAATCTCAGCACCAGCAATAATTCCTGTGTTTCAGTGAGCTCTTTGAACAGCTGGGTAGAATCAGACAGGGAATACATGAGGAGAATTAGGAGGCTATTTCTGACTCACATCATTAGCTCCATCTGCATTATTTTATACAGACTCATTTACTGAACAACCTTCAACACACATTCTCAACATGGCTCATACTGCTGGTAATTTTCCATATTAAAACTCCAATTCAAATCTCTAAACTTAAAAAGCATTATAGAAATATTTTCTTCCTTGATGGGTCATGAAAATTATTCCTATGCCACAACAAAGAACTGCACTGTCCCTTCTATCATATCTCTTCTGGCACACCATCAGCCCAAGCATGGCACCATGAGTTCAAATGGATAAGTTGTTTGGTTTGTCTCCCACTGCCCTGCTGAAAGCTGGGGTTGAACACCACCACATGGACTCCCCAGGACTGCCTCCTTGGGTGACTTCAGGCTGCTGGGTCAGACTGAAAAAACCTTACCGATTCAGAAGAGACTTTAGCAATCTGCATTTGAGTTTTACTTCTTTCCTTCTATAATATGATGGGGAATTAAACATTTCACTACTTTAAACCTTTAATTAAAGATTTAAATATAAACCTTGGTCTTTTCAGACCAAGTGAGAGAGCATGACATTTTACTAGTACTCGAAGTGAGGTGGAAATCCACTTGCAATAACCAGTATGAACATGGGAATATCCAAATATAATGTGCCTCTAATGCAAATCACAGGCTGCCACTCAGCCTCTCTCTCTCTGGTCCTGGAGTGACTAGCCCGAGAAATACTCTGCCCCTTTTAACAAATTGAAAATAGCAATCTTTTAAAGAAAGAAGACTTACAACCAATAGAGATGCTGAAAGTTACTATCACTTTCATAACTTTTACTATCACTCAAAATTTTACTTATTGAGTTGCTATTGTATAGCTAAGCATATTCTAGTCAGAGTAGTAGGAAATACCAAAAAGGTCTGTAAAAGAAAAGGCAGTTTGCCACTGAGATTAAGAGAATGAAACCTCTTGCAACATTTTGTAACAATGTGGGTATAGATTCAACAAATGGTCTAGAGATCAGCTGAAGAGCCTCTGCACTGTAAGTACTGCTAGGAGCATAACTTTGAGTCACAAGCTTTAACAGTAAATCTGCAACTCTGCAAAACACAGTATATAAAAAGTAAGTTGAACAGCATTTCCAATTTGTTACTGTCCTGAAGAGTGTGCAGCTGTGAACAGGACAGCACCTGCAACTTCAGACTTAAACTGATATTATTTTGGAGCTAAAATAAACCACAGATTGGATCACTGAATAAATTACAGCAGTGTACAGAGCTTAAAACTACATGAATCTCTCATAATGAAGAAAATGCTGCACTTTTTCTCAATTACTATACCACTCCGTATTTGTTCATCTATCCTGACTAAACAACCAGGATACCAAACAATTGTACTAAAATATTTGTAAGTAACAAACATTTGTAGCAACAGTATAAGGGGTGCAAGTGAAGTCATGGCATATTTATTACAGAAATTGTTCTAAAAGTACCACAGCTAGTCTCCATCAGTACACCTGAAGACTTCTGCAAGCCACACTTTCAAAGGACTACTGGCTTACCTCAAGTCAGTTTTCTAACAGCTGGCATAATTAGTAAACTACTTCAGTGCAAATTTTACTCCTAGAGTTTGATTTTTGGGGTGGGAAGACAATCTTCTCTCTGTTGCCCTCAACATTTGTCCCAATTTCACAATCCTTAAAAACTAAATAATATACATGTTGTTGCCATCTGTTTATTCTTCCAGTTTTTCAATATAAATGGAAGTTTCATAGCTTCAAGAGAAATTTTTAAAATTACAGCTCCAAAGAAGAAACTTCTGATATCTCCTGCAACCACTGGGTAATTTAAACCAATTTCTCAGATGAAAATATAATTTTTAAAGCTGATGTCTTTAATAAAATCCAGGTATGGATACATAAAACAAATGATCAAGTTATTAATTTTGCTTATGCTCTTATCATCTGTCTGCTTAAAATAGATGAGTAAACTTCCACATTTGTATCTTAAATGCTCCCTACTTTATTCTTTTCAGATTTTTATAAAAAGTCTGTGATAACTAATAGTTTCTCTTACCAACGAGCAGTCCAGCAGCTGTCTTCTGCACTTGCTTTTGTTACCATGAGTTAGCGAGGCAGTTCTTAATAACGGGGACCCTATCTACAAGGGAAGTCCTGACAAATGAACTATTTTGTCTAAAATCTAAAAAAAGTCTCCAAGGGCTTTTCAAACTGTTATCAAAAGATTAACATATCAAAGAAAATTTGGCACTGCTTGGAATGCTTTTTTTTTTCCCTCTTCCCTCCAGTGTGGCTGAACAATTGCAAGACTGTGGCCGGGCTGGCGCAGAGGCTGCGCTTCCAGGCATCAGCCGCCCGGTCCAGCTCCTTCTATTCAAACAACAAATGCCTCCCCAGGAGCCTGCAGACACTCGCAGGGCTATGCACAAGCCCTGATACTATCTGCCCAGCTAAAAGCATCTATGCTTCTGACCAAACCCTTCCTTGTATTTACAGCGCTTGTGAGTGAAGACAACAACATTCATTTTGAGGAGCTAAAGGCAGCAGGTCAGAAATGCACGCATTTCTCACTCTCGGCATTTTGCAGTTTATCACAGAG